CAGCGCGCGACCGCGAGCTCTCCTGCAAGCCCGCTCAGCCGCCTCGACCACGGCCGTCAGCACGGGCGTGGTCGCCTGGAGCGGGCCCCTTCATGACGTTGATCCAAACGTGGTAATCCCAGTCGTCGCTGGCCAACGCGCGCGCATGCGACGGGTCGTCGCTAATCAGTCTGACGGACGCCGCGGCCAAAGCAATGCATTGCCTCCTGCCGTTGCCCCTTTCACGATGCTACAACATTCCAACAAACACCGTGTGACTCTGCTCCCACCACGAGCACGTTTGATCGTGTAGTGGGTGGGCGCGGGCCGTCTCCGTCACGTGGACTTCCCTGACTTGGAAGCTCGGGCCCCCTGCTCTGGACCTCGCAGTGACTGGAGGGCCTGGCCGTGATGACCCTAGATCGCGGCCTCCGCTGCTGTGGCCCGCGCCGCGAAGGGGCCACGCACCGCGGTGACATGCCATGCCCCCACGTGGTACGCAAGGGGGTCTGCGTCAACTCCCCAGTCGCATTCCCCCGGAACACGACCGACTTGGGCGCGATGCTCGAGCCAAGATGAGGACGGGATATAGAAAGGACGGGGCAGAGTGGGGGGGGGGGGGGGCGCCGGCAGCCGCAGGGGTCCCCGTGTTGGGCTCCAAGGGGTCGTTGAAACTTACCTTGGCACTCACTGGGTTGCTGGATGCGAGACCTCTCCAAGGGCGCAAATTGGGGATGGGGGGGGGGGGGGGCGAGCCAGAAAGGTCTAAACGCACGGGCTGTCCTCGGGCGTGTTCGGTCGCCAAAACTGTATCAGCGTTAGCCTGCGCGCCTTCGCGAGCCTCGAAGTTGCCCTCGCTGGCCCAGGGGTCCTCTTCCTCAGTCCCTCCCAGCGCTTCAGAATCGCGAGGGGCCGCGCGCCGTTTGGGGTGAAACGGGGGGCGCCACGCCCTGACCCATCGAGCCCGCCCCGCCAGGCGACGAGGAGACGACGTCCTCAAACAGTGCAGCACAAGTGCCGCGCATCTCCTCACGAGAGAGTGCCGCCCCTCGTGCCCGCTCTACTTGGGCTGCAGAGGACTTGGAGCCAGGAGAGGAGAGGGCGATGGGGCGCGGAGACTGCGGTAGCTTAGACGGCAGGGAAAGAGAACGCGTCAACAGCAGGGCTCCCGAGCCTTCGAGATTCATTTGTAGCCCACAGTGCGTTTTAAATGGCGCGTCGACAACAGCCCGCGCACTGGAGATGCACGGGCAAAAGCTGCTGGATGCGAGAGCGTAGCCCCGCTCCGTTACCTCGGACGTGGGGCTGGCAGTGCATGTGACAGATGTGTTTTCAACTCCGTGTCGAATGAGATCCGCCGAAGACAGATCCCAATTGCCGACGACAACCCAGGAGAGAGAGCGACGTGAGCAGGGCTCCTAGTCTCGTACCTCTGGAGACTGCGGCCGTACCACCCTTCCCCAGAGTACCAGTGGAAGAAACTAGCAACGAAATGTTACCCTTTTGATCATGATGCCAGACGCGTGAAAGCCGCCGACAGCCTGGCGCCGGTCGGCGAACAGGGCACTCCACGAATATGTAGCTAGAGTGTGGACGGCTCTGTGACCTTCAGATAGAAGCCACTCGCTGCCCTCGTTGGTGCGATGCACATTTTCTCCGACGGTTGCCTTCCCCGACGTCCTGGCTGGGTTGGCAGTCAGCCGAAACCCTGCCTTTCGAGCTTCTTTGCGCCAGTGATCCAGGCCGTTGGCGTCCACGTGAGATCCAACTACGCCTGCGAAATGATATCTAGGACGCTGAGTCGAAGAGACAAAGTAGTCCCTCATCTCGGGGCCAGCGCGCGCGACGTTGGCGAAAAAAGGCGCGGGCAGCTCATTGTCAGAACCCTGGCTATCCCCATTCGGCCCAAAGTCAAAGGCCGATGCCGAAGCGGGGCTCCGTGATCCAGCAGTCGTCGAGCTTCTCAGATTCGCTGTAGCTGCGGGTCCCGCCCTCGGCTGGGAGCCACACGCTGGCGCTGGTGTGCTGGCTGCCTTTTCAAGGGCGACCCCGTGGCTGCATTGTCCTCCTTGGCTGCTGCAAACTTGGCCTCCAACAGCTTCACCGCCGCCGCCTCGTGCCTCGCATCAGGTGCCTCAACGACGACTGCCTTGGGCGCTGCCGCTGCCGCTGGCGCGCCTCCCGCCGCTGGGGCGCTCTCTCCGCCAGTGGCGCGAACGCCCTCGGCGGGGCCAGGGGCCCCGGTCGCGGCTGGAGGGGCTTGCGGCTGCGGCTCGGCAGCCACCCCTTTCTTGGCCGTCCTCCCGGTGATGGCCTTCATCATGGCGGCCGTCTTCTCCTGCTATCCTTGACCTCCGCGTGCTTGCCGCTGACCATCTCCTGCGTGGAGCGCAGCTGGCGCTCGAGCTCGCGGAGGGCGGTGCGCTCGTGCTCCTCGCACTCCATGTCGTCCAGCTCCTTGAATAATTTCTCATCGATCCTGAGCTGGAACAGATCGCCTGTGGAGGCGTGGGCCGCGGCCTCAGCGGGCCCCTTTTCACCGACCACCCCCATCTGCTGAGCCAGGATGCGCGCCGCCTTGCTCCTGGCCTCGTCGGCCCCAGCGAGCTCGATGGCTGCCGCGCGCTCCTTGGCCTCGGCTTGCTCAAGGTTGTCCCTGGCCTTGAGCACGGCCGAGATCGCCTGGTCGTGGCGCATGGTTGCTGTCCTCCATGCCCCCGACGTCTGGCGGACTGCCTCGTCGGGGGCCTGGCTGGGCTTGGAATGGCCCTTCTTCTCCTGGATCTCGTCCTCGAGCAACTTCTGGGTCCTGCGTGGTGCCGAGGGTGAGCTTCACGAGGTCGACGTCGGTCTTGCTCGACGAGCTCGCGCCACCTCCCCCTGACTTGGTGCTGCTGCCGCCATAGCCGTTGACCACGGTGGTGTCGACCCGCACGAGCTGGTTCTTAGCGTGCTTCGTCTGGGGCTGGTACAACTTGACCTGGCGCCCGCAACCGTAGCACTTCTTGCTTCGGGGCCCGAGTACGCTGTTGTAGTCGCACTTGCCGCGCGACGAACAGTTCGACCAGGCCTAATTGTCTGATTTACCCGTAGCCTTCGTCATCCCACCTTTCGCCATTCAGAGCGTTTGCGCAACTTGGCAGCGGGCGCCGCTGCACTGCGCAACTCAGCGAATGCCCCCCAAGCACTCCGAGAAATCGGTGGGAGTTCGGGCGAGTCCTGAGCAGGTGGAACCTCCCTCTGAACCACAAGTGCTTGAGGGGGGAGGGAGGAGGAGGAGGAGGAGGAGGAGGAGGAGGAGGAAGAAGAAGAAGAAGAAGAAGACGAATACGAAGAAGAAGACGAAGAAGAAGAAGAAGAAGACGAAGGCGAAGACGAAGAAGAAGAAGAAGACGAATAATAAGAAGACGAAGAAGAAGAAGAAGACTAAGAAGAAGAAGCAGAAGAAGAAGAAGAAGAAGACGAAGAAGAAGAAGAAGAAGAAACATAATAATAATAAGAAGAATAATAATAATAATAATAATAAGAAGAAGAAGAAGAAGAAGAAGAGGAGGAGGAGGAGGAGGAGGAGCTGGAGGATGAACCGGTCGTAGGAGAGAGGGAGGGAGGGATGAAGGGGATGCAGAGCAGCAAAAGGAATTGAGGGAGGCAGGAGGAGGAGGAGGAGGAGGAGGAAAAGGAGGAGAGAGGACGGGAGCAGTGATGGGAGGAGGGGGAGGTGGGACTGAGGGACTGACTGCACTGAAGGGGTACCCCCTCGCTCTCCACCGCGGGCGCGACAGGGGCGGGCGGCCCAGCCCCCCAAAAGGCAGGGCCCCACGCCAGGCCCCCAAGGGCCTGGCCACCGAGGCCAACCCGGCTCCCGCATGGGAGCGAGATGGGCCCTGCGCCGTGCGAGCGAAGGCCCCCTCCCCGCTCAGCTCGCAGCTCCTCGAATCGTGAAGTCCTTTACGAGCAGCCGATCGACGTCGTCGAGGCGCCACCTGGATGTCTTCCCGAACATTCCCAGTCAAAGTACGCTCGTCGTTACCGTCTTCACGCGGTGACTCCGCTCCGCACGTCCACGGCTCCTCGCGGCATGCACCACGCGGTTCCCCTCGGAAACGCAACACGGACTTCTTCCAGTCGGAACACGAACAGCATGCGCCATCCAAGTTCGGCTCCTCACAGAACACAAACACCCACCCAGACGAGAAATACTACGAACATCATCACATGCCGGATCCCGAGAGACACCTGGACCACGACGCCGACGCTCTCGAGAAGCGTCCAGTTGGGAATATCACAAAGCCACTGCTCGGCCGAGCTGCGGCCCTTCGAAGTGCGCTCGGCCATCCTCGAACTCTCGAGGCGAAAAGGGTGAGGTGGAGGAGGAGGAATAGGAGGAGGAGGAGGAGCAGGAGGAGAGGAGGAGGAGGAGGAGGAGGAGGAGGAACATGAGAAGGCGGAGCAGGGGAAGGATGAGGAGGGCAGTTGGGGGCAGTAGGGGGGCAGGGGAGGGGAGCCGCAGATCGAACGGTCTCGCCGGAGGCACGAGGGAGCCCACGAGGAGAACGATGGAGGACGCGGCAGCCCAGCTATAGCCGCCCTCGCCACTGCTACTGCGGCGGGGTGGGGAGCCCCACGACCTGGCGGCGCCCAGCTCTGAAGACTTTTTCCGGGGGCAGCGGGCGCTCGACCTGCCCTCGCGCCGCGCAGCTCCTCGCCCCACCCCCCCCAACCGCGGCTTCAGAGAACATCCGCTCCCGATCGCCTCAGCGATCGCCAAGATCGCCCCCCGCCCCCCCCCCACCCCCCGCGGCTTCAGATGACATCCGTTCGTTCCTCTCGCCTCCGGGATCGCCGCGATGTGGCGGCCGACCGCGGCGGCAGGTAACATCCTCCCGTTCCGATCGCCTCCGCGATCGCCGTGGTGTGGCGGCCGACCGCGAAGAGAACGAAAATCACCGCTGCGCGCGGCCCGCAGCCAGAGACCCCCGCCACGCCACCCCCCCGCCTTCCTGCTCGCCGGGCGCCGAGAGGTCCCCGACCGCCAGGCCGGCGCCCACCCGCACTCGGCGGTGGCCTGGGGCCCCGACCTGGTCTTCGTGTGCGACCTCGGCGCGGGCCCCATTGGGTCGAGGGCTCGAGGATCGAGACTTCCGGAGGGGCCCTTCATGGAACGGCTCGCGGGCTCGAGGATCTAGGTTTTTGGAGGGTTGGGGTCCTCCCAGGGATGGATAGAGGGTTCGAGGTCGAGGACCGAGGTTTCTGGAGGCTGGGGAGTTCTTGTTGGGGATGGGTCGTGGGTTCGACGGACGTGGTTCGATTAGCAAGGCTTTTGGGACGTTTCGGGAGGCCGAACCGACAGCTCCAGACGATACCCCCCTGGGGATCATAAAGGTCGTGGTCCAGGCGGGATAGTCAACGTTTTCCCGGAGATCTCAGCATAGTGATGAAGATGATGACGATGGTGATGATCCAGATGAAATTGCACGCTCATAAAGACTCTACAGGCTTACGCCACATCCGCCGACCCCTTCTGTGAGTGTTGCGAGGCCAGGAGTTTCTGGCCAGCGGCGTCTTGTGTGAGGGTGCGGTGTCGCGCGCGGGTGGTGGCAGATACGTAGGGGGTCCAAATGTTTGCGTGATGCCGGTGGTCTGGGGCGTGTTTTGCGAGCGCTTTGCGTGCTGTGCACCCGGGTGCGGGGTGTCCTTCTGGGAGGTCGGCCTTTCGACCCGCAACCAAGTGGAGGAGCACTGGAAGACGAAAGGAGCAAGAGTAGTGTGTGGAAGCTGCGATCAGCGAAGCATCACAGCGAAAGATGTGGCAGATGAATCGAAACGGGTGAAGAGGCTGTTGACGTTCGCAGCGCGCACGAAACAGTTCGCGCGGCAGCAGCACATTAGCGCCGAGCAAGATAGTGAGCACGTCGCGAGGAAGAGTAAGGTTGTATGCGCGGAGTGCATTGCAGTTGGCGTGACGGCTCGCAATACGGAAGCGTCTGGGGGTCTTTTGGGGGCCTCCTGGGGGCCTCTTGTGGGCTCCTTGGGGCGTCTTGGCGGTTTCTTGAGGGCCGTTGGCGGCCTGTTGGGGCGCTCTTGGGGCCCCCTGGGGCTCGTGGGGGCGGAAAGCTAGATTTTTGAATTGTTGGTTGCCCTCTTGGGCCCCTCTTGGTGCCGTCTTGGAGCCTTCTTGGGCCGTTTTGGGGACCTCTTGGGCCGTCTTGGGGCCATATTGGACCGTCGCGGGGCCGTCTTGGGGGCCTCTTGGGCCGTCTTGGGGCGGTTTTCGGGGCTTCTTGGGCCGTCTAGGAGCGTCGGAAAGCCCAGAAGGCGGATGTGTGAACATTGTACGTTTCACGACGGGAATGCGTACATGTCTGCGTCCAGGGACCGTCTTGGGACGCATCTTGGGGGCCTCTCAGGGGCGTGTTGGGCCATCTGGAGGCCATTTCGGGTGTCTTCGATCGTTCTCGGACCGCGTGGGACCATGTTGAGCTCTCTTGGAAGCCACTTGGAGCGCTCTTGGGGCCGTCATCGGGGCTCTCTTGGGCCGTTTTCGGCGCCGCTTGAGCCGTCTCAGCGCCTTGTTGGGTTGTCTTGGGGCCCTCTTGGAGGCTTCTTGGGCCGTCTTGGGGCGGTCTTGGGGGCCTCTTGGGCCGTCTGGGAGCGTCGGAAAGCCCGAAAGGCGAATTTGTGAAAAAAACGCACGCTTTACGAAGGGAGCGGGCTAATTTTTGCGTCTAGAGGCCCTCTTGGGACGCATCTTGGATGCCTCTTGGGGCCTCTTGGGGGCATCTTGGGCCGTCAGGAGGCCATCTTCGGTGTCTTTGATCGCTCTTGGGCTGTCTGGGACCATATTGAGCTCTCTTGGAGGCCACTTGGGGCGCTCCTGGAGCGCTCTTGGGGCCCTTTTCGGGGCCCTGTTGGGCCGTCTTGGACGCTTGTTGGGCCGTCTTGGGGCCCTCTTGGGCTATCTTGGGAACCTCTTGGGGGTTTCTTGGGCCGTCTTGGGGCGGTCTTCGGGGCCTCTTGGGCCGTCTTGGAGCGTCGGAAAGCCCAGAAAGCGAACTTGTGAAAATTATACGTTCTACGAAGGGAATGGGCCAATGTTTGCGTCTAGGGACCCTCTTGGGGCGCATCTTGGAGGCCTCTTGGGGCCTCGTGGGGACCTCTTGGGCCGTCTTGGAAGCCTCTAGGCTCGTCTTGGGGCCATCTTGGGCGTGTGGGAGCGCTCGTTTGGCGTCTCGGGGCCCTCGTGGGCCGTCTTGGAGGCCTCTTGGAGCCTTCTGGGCCCGTCTTGATCCCCTTTTTGGGCCCAAAAGAGCCCCGTGACGCGCTCGTACTGGGCCCGGGGGGGGGGGGGTCAAATCTCCGGTTTGGGGTCCCTGGGGGGGGGATTATGGGGGGGGAACTATCTCACACGCCTAGAGACCCACAAGGGGTCGGCGGATTAATATGTCAATCTACATATGGACATATAAAAAAGAGTCCTTCGTAAATCCAGCGGAATCTTATGGACTTCCACAGGACTCCTTAGGAAATCCATCGGGTGCCTTTGAATTGCACTCGGGTTCCTTAAGACATTCATAAAAAAGCCAATGGAAATCCGTTGGATTCCTTAGAATGTCCATGGGAAACCTAAGGGACTCGAGGGGAATCTTCCGGAAATCCAATCGGATTCCGTTGGATATCCACCCGGTTCCTTCCAAAATCAATCGGGCTCCTTAGGAAATCGATGGGCTTCCTCCGGAAATTAGAACATCCTCTGGGACATCCATCGGATCTCTTAGGACATCCATGGGACCCCCCAGGAAATCAATATAATGCCCTAGGACATCTGTATGGATCCTTTTGTGGAAATCAACAGGATTACATGGCAATATCTGAAGTTCTTTCGGACATTCATAATATTCCTTAGGAAATGCATGGGATTCCCTTGGGAACCCTGAGGACTCCTATGGGACGCTTTATGATTCCTGTGGAAACCCATAAGATCCCCGCGCGATTCCACCGGGTTCATTTGCGACATCCTTATGATTCCATCGGAAGCCTATAGGAATCCCAAACCAACCGATTGGATGTTTGAGATATCCAGCGGAATCCACCCCCATGGACATGTATAGGATTCCTGGGGATATCCGTAGGGTTTCTTGGGAAATTCATCGGGCCCCCCAGGATCGCCCCCCAGGATCGCCATCGGAACCCTGAGGACATCAATTGGATTCCTGAGGAAATCACGAGACCCCATCGGACATGAATAAGATTCCTTCGGAAATCCATAAGATACCCGTGGAAATATGTTGGGTTTTTTGAAGACAGTGAAAATGTCTACGATAAGGATGCTGAAGGCCATGTTTCCTCGCTACGGCTCTTGGAGCTCGGCGAGAGTTGGTTTCTAGAGCTTGCCTGAGAGCTTGAGGTATTTGGCGGTTCTCGCCAAGAAACCCCTCTTGCGCGCAACCTCGAACCACGCGCCCACGCAGGCTCGGCATCCTGTGGGGCCGTCCTTGCGCGGGAGGCACTTCGCGCACGCTGGCGCTGCAGCCTGTGCCCCTCGAGGCTGCCGCACTTTGGCCCTGGCGCTGTCGGGTCGCTCTGCGGCTTGGCCTTGCCCTTGCTCCTGGCCTTGGCCTTGGCCTTGGCCGTGGCGGAGTGATCGTCGCTCGCGCCCTCCAGTTTCTGGGCCCACTCGTTGCCTCGAGCGCACGCCTGGGTGATGCCGAGGGTCGGCAGGCGGCCGTCGCCCCGGATCTCGCGCCATGCGCAGTCGACCCACCTCGTCACCCAGAGTTCGCTAGTTCAGCCATCCGCTTGGAACATCTTGTTGCTGCTCGCAGGGCGTGCTTCGGCAGGGCTGATGGCGCCGAGCTTTCAGGTGATCTTCGCGGCGCCTGCTCGGCGTTCTCGGGCGGCTGCTTGAGGGCATCGCGGTGCTCGACGGCCGCGCCCGCTCTCTGCGCAGTGCGTGGGGGCTTCGGAGTGCGCCGCGACCAGCAGGTGCTCGGGCTGCTCGACTCTCCGCGCAGCGTTCCTGCTCCTCGGGCTGCGGGGCGGCGGGCTCGTTTTCGCCCTGGCCCGTTCGAGCCCAGGCGACGGCCGCCGTGGGCTCGATCACCAGGACGTTTTCTGGGGCGCCCGCGCGCCCCTCGATCTCGCCGAGCAGCGCGCTCGCCGCGCTCAGCTCGAGGGCGTCGCCCTTCTCCATCTGCTCGCAGTTCATGATCTCGGAGCTCGGTGCTCCGAGGTGCCCTGCTAGGGGCCTCTTAGACGGGGCCCCAATTAGATGCGGCCCTTGGCTTGCGACGCTTGAGCGAAGCTCGCGAGCTTCAATTAGCATCGGAGGGGGGGGGGCGGAGAGGAGAGGGCCCGCGGGGATACATATGCTGGGGCCACGAGTAGTGCGAGGAGCGCGCTTGGCAACGCGCAGCCCCGCCGACGCGCTCGGCAAAGCGCGGCCCCAGCGACGCGCTTGGGCGCCGCCGGATTCTGCAGGAAATCCGCAGGACTTCTCGTGACTTCCATCGGCTTCGTCGCCGTGGGAAATCCATCGGGCCCCTCGGAACATCCACGGGGCCCCGTAGCAATGCGCGTCGGGTGCTTCAGGAGATCTTTAAGATCCCTTCGGAAATGCGCCGGGGCCGTTGAGACATCCATAGGATTCCTAAGGGCACGGGGATCTTCAGAGCATCCACGGGGGATCCTTAGGAACCTCTGAGGCAGTCAACAGGTGGGGGAAGGGAAGTATGCGCCCCGCGACCACTTTCCCAACGGAATCTTCGATTCGGGACCTCTGGTTTTATGTGTAAGCGTCGCTCACTTTTCAGAGCCATTTCCCATAGCGCATGCGTTGGAGTCTATGGCGGCTCATTGGCGGAGATGACAAAAGTTCGAGCTGGGCGCGCATGGGGGCGGCGCAAGATCATGCCTTAATGTATCTATAAGATTTTTCGTGGCGTTTAAACGACGCCTTGGGAAATCCATGGGCTTCTTTCGAGCATCTATATGGTGCTTTCAGATATCCATTGGGCTCCTGCGGAAATCCATAAGGCTCCTTAGGCCATCCTCGCGGTTTTGTTTGTCATAGGGTTTCTTGGGGGGCCCATCGGTCCCCTTAGGGCATCCATCGGTTTCCTTCGGGCAGCTGCAGAGATCCTTAGGGCGCCCATCGGATTTCTTTGGGCAACCATAGGGGTTCTTAGGGTATCCATAGGATCCGTTTGGGAGTCCATTGGGCTCCTCAGGGGGTCGATCGGATTCCGTCGGCAAACCATCGGAGTCCTTGGGACATCCATAGAATCCGATAGGTCATCCATAGGATGCCTTCGGACATCCATCGGATTCCTTAGGTCATCCATCGGATCCTTTCGGACGTCCATCGGAATCCTTCGGACACCCAGTGGAATCGTTTAGAAACCATTTTAATTTCTGTGGAAACCCATCGGGCTCCTTGAGAAATCCATCGGCTTCGTCGCGACGTCCATCAGATGCTTCAGGAGATTCATCGGGGTCGCTAGAAAATTGCAGCGTTGCCTAAGGAAATCCAACGGAATCGTTCGGACATCAACAGGATTCCTTAGGACATCGAGTCGATTAGGTAGGACATGCATTTGTGTCCTTACGACATCCTTGAGAATCCTTTGAGCACTCCGTAGGAGTCCTTCGTCAATGTATTGGCTTCCGAGTAAAATCCATTGGAGTCCGTAGGACATCCATAGGAAGCGTGATGCACCCCGCAGCATTCCTCAGGGCATCATAGGATTCCTGAGCACATCCATACGATTCCGTGCGACATCTATCAGTGCCCTTAGTGATCAGCAAGAGGAGCATCACATTGCTTTAAAGAAAGGCATGCGGTTCCTTAGCCATTCCACAACATTCCTTCGAACAGCTATAGGATTTCTTAAGTAAGCCATGCGATTATTTAGACGTTCATGAGCTTCGAATATCCATGGGATTCCCTGGGAACGCCATCGGGGTCTGGAGGAATGCTATAGGAATCCTCTGGGCATCCATCGGTTTTCTTTGGAAACCCATCATGTTCTTGATGACATCTCCGGATTCTCTAGGACATCCATCGGATTCCTGAATCGATCCATCGGAATTCTTTTTGAACTCCATGGGGTCCCTGGGAATCCATGCGATTCCGTGGAACACCTTCGGCTTCCGTTGCCAATCCGTTTGATTTCTTTGGAAATCCGAAGGTTTGGACATCCATGCGATAATATTGAAGGAATCAGACGGTTTGTTTTTTCTTTTACGCAGACAAACAACATATTTTCCAAATGCAGCCGGTCACCGTTAAGGGCTGTTTTTAGAAGTCCAGACCAACATGGAGACGTGTCCATTGTGGACAATACAAAACTTGCCACGCGCGCTTTCGCGCGCGCGCGAATGGTGATATTTGTTTTTTTCCCACAGTTGAACCGTCGCCATGTTGGCCTGGGCAATACAGTGCATTCTTAATGCAGACCGATTGGCGTATGAACTTAACGCGTTTGTTTCGGTGGTGTTCCAAGGTAGTAAGGTTCATCTGTTGGCTTGGGAACTAAAGTGAACCCTTAACGGTGACAGATTGGATTTTGAAATTGACATGCGTTTTTCGATTCATTTGATGATTGCCTGAGGGATCCGATGGATGTCCTTCGGGTTCCAACGGGTTTCCGATGGATTTCCACGGATTGCCGAAGTACTCCTATGGATGTCCTAAGGGTTCCAATGGATGTCCTGAGAATTCCTATAGATTGCTGAAGGAGTCCGATGGACGTCCCAAGGGCTTGTGGATGTCCTAAGGAGTCAGATGGATTTCCAATGGTGTCCTATGGATTTCCTGGTCCTTCTCCGATGGATTTCCTATGGGCTCTTATTTCCTATGGCTTGAGGAGGAGGAGGAGGAGGAGGAGGAGGAGGAGGATGAGGAGGAGGAGGACGAGGAGGAGGAGGAGGAGGAAGAGAGAGGCCAACCCCCACCTCCCTCATCCTCCTCCTCCTGCATACTCGTTATCCTCCTCGTCGTCCTGTTCCCCACCCTCCTTCTCCTCATGTTCCTTATCCTCCTTTTCTTCCTCTTCTCATGACAGGAAGGAGCGAAAGGAACAGGAGGAGGAAGAGGAGGAGGAGGAAAAAGAGGGGGAGGAGAGGAGGAGGTGGTGGTGCAGGAGAAGGTGGTGCAGGAACAGGAGAAGAAACAAGAGGACAAAAAAGAGGAAACGGAAGAATCGGTTGAATCGTTTTGGAACGGATTTCAGCAGACATCTCAAAATCGCGGGGGGGGCGAAAACGAACCGAAACGGGCTTTCCCCTGGATTCCTATAGATTCCGGGGACATCCCATGGACTTCTCCAAGGAACCATATGGATTGCCTAAGGACTCCGATGGGTGTCTTAAGGAATCCTATGGACGTCCTCAGGAATATTGTAGAATTCCTAGTGGGTCATATCGATGTTCGACGGAACCCGATAGGTGTCCAAAGGGATGCTCTGGATTTCCACAGGAATCCGATGGATTACATCAAGCATCCTATGGGATGTCAAGACGAATCCCAGGGATTTCCTGAGGAACCCGATGCATTGACGAAGGACTCCTACGGAGTTCCTAAAGATTCTTAAGGATGCCCTCAGGAGATCCAGAGAATTTCCTAAGGGGTCCGACGGATTTCTCTAGGACTCCCATGGACGTCAAGAATCCTCATGATGTCCTCGCGCATCCTACGGGCTGCCGACAGAATCTGACAGATTTCGTCAGGAATCCCATAGATTTGTTCTGGAATCCGATGGGTTTCATTCGGAATCCTAAGTGTTTCTTCGGGTTTCCCATGGCTTCCAAGGAATTCCATGGATGTCCTCACGAAGCCTATGGATTTTCGAAAGAATCCGATGGATGTCCTAAGGGACCCGATGGATTCCCTAAGGGATCCTATGGATGTCTTAAGGGCTCCGATGGATGGCCTAAGGAATATACTTGTTGTCCTAAGGATTCCCATTGATATCCCAGCAAATCTTTTGGATGCCATTTAGGTTTCCTTGTATCTTTCCCAAGGAACCCGATGGATGTCCGAAATGATCATATGGATTTTCTAATGCTAATGAATCTCATGGATGTATTACGGAATCCGATGGATGTCCTAAGGAATCCTATGGGAATCCTAGCGCATCCGATTGGTTTCCGGGGGAATCCGATTGATTTCCTTAAGGATCGTCCGGGTTGCCAGAGGAATCGTGTGGAGATTCTAAGGGATCCTATGGATGTCCTAAGGCGTCCGATCGATTTCTCGACGGATCTTTCGGACGCCGCGTGGCAGCACATGAATTTCCGAAGGAATCCGATGGATTCTTGTAGCGATCCACACAGACTTCTTGAGGCATTTTAAGGATGTCCAAAGGATTCCTATAGATTTCTTTCGGAGTCCCATCGACTTCCTGAGGCAATATATACAATTCCTTTGGACATCCATAAGATTCCTCCGGAAATGCGCAGGATCCCTTACGAATTCCAGAAGATCGCCGTCGGACTACGTACGAAATTCATAGGATTCCTTAGGACGGATTTCATGGGAAATCCAAAGGAATCCATAGAGCATCCATAGGATGCCCTGGGACATCATCCATCGGACTCCTGAGGAACTATATAGGAATCCTAGGACATCCTTGGTATTCAACATGAGAAGAGAGCAACTTTGAGCGCACTTTTCCCCCGCGATTAGAAAAGTTCGACATTGCCGCCTCTTTTCCCTGACCGAACCTGTACTGGCCCGGGATAGGCAAATCTCAGTCGTGCAGGGGGGGGAGGGCCCAATTATCATCCAGAGGTTGGGGTTATTGCGGCCTCCTGGGGCTCCCTCGTGGCAACGGCTGGATCCGCATCGAGATTCTGGCCAGAGAAAGGGAGGTCCTGGGGATCGATTTTGCAGGCTCGAGGTTATCGCCACTCTAGGCTCCAAGCCGGGGGGCCGTTAGTGATCGATCCGGACAAATCGGACCAAGGGAGGGATCGAGAGAGCGGATGTCAATCTTTTCGGCGAGCGTCATCTTCGTCGACGACCGGGCTTCGGGGACGTTTCCGGAGCTTTTCGGGTCTCCTGGGGCGCCCTCGTAGCCACGGCTGGGCCCGCCTCGACATGACCAGAGGCCACCCCATTAGAGGTCTGTGAGAAGATCCTCGTGTGCGACCTCGGCGCGGGCCTCAGATGGTCGCCAAGGACGACGCCACAACGAAGTCGAAGTCGTCGTCGTCGTTGTTACCGTTGTCGTCGTCGTCTTCGTCGTCTTCGTCGGCGGCGGCGGCTTGTGTTCAGGATCATGGTCGTGGTCGTTGTCATGGTCGTGGTTGCCGCCGCCGCCGCCGCCGCCGCCGCCGCCGCCGTCGTCGTCGTCGTCGTCGTCGTCGTCGTCGTCGTCGTCGTCGTCGTCGTCGTCGTCGTCGTCGTCGTCTTCTCTTCAATGGAGCTCCCACGGAGGTCTCTCACTGCAGCGCTTCGACTTATTGGGTAGGCCTCATGGCCGGTGCCGCCGACCGTGAAGGAGAACGACGACGACGACGCTGGCGGCGCGCCTGAGTGAAACGTGTGTGTGTGTGCGTGCGTGTATGTATGTATGTATGTATGCATGTCTGTCTGTCTGTCTGTCTGTCTGTCTGTCTGTCTGTCTGTCTGTCTGTCTGTATGTATGTATGTATGGATGGATGGATGTATGTATGTATGTATGTATGTATGTATGTGTGTGTATGTGTGTGTGCTTGTCTGAGTGTGGGTGTGTCTGCTTGTGCGTGAAAGTTCGTATCATTGCTGGGGTAATGGGTGAACAAGGGCTCTTGCCGCCTCCCGCCCGCTGCGAAGCCAAGGAGCGGACAAGATCTTCTCCTACCGAGTCGAAGCCAATGGGAGCCTCAGCGTGCTCTCCAGCGTGGACGCAGCCCGCCCCCGCTGCCGCTGAGATCCGACGTTGCGGAAAAGTTGCAGCATCGTGGAACATCATTACACGCCGGTCGTTGAAAGTACTTGTTGCTGGACTCCCAAATCCCAATCTACTCTACGCGCCTGCCTATTGCAAGAGTCGAGTGGCTTCCCCTCTTCCTTCCTTTTCAGGGGGCGGGCGGAAGCCCAACACACTTTCAACGCCTGCCTGCTCCACGTTTCTACCCCCTTCTTCCGACCGACGGGTACCAGTTTGAAACAAACATCTCCCCATCCCTATGCTTGGCACCACCTCACCTCGATGCCCATCTTGAGGGCTCCCTCAGCTTCTGAGGGCACATGCCCAAGACTGTCATCGCTTTTGGCTTGCTCATGAACAGTTTGGGTCTGCCTAACTCACGGCTGGAGCCCTCGACCCCAGCTTCCTGCGCCAGCTCTCAAGCCAGATCCACCCGTTGTGAGGCAGTCGCGCCGCCAGGATCCGACTGCGCGTGTCCGTCGGAAGATGCGGTGTGGAGTCGAAGAGCCGGAGCCACGGGGGGAGGGTTCAGTCGGGCGTGTTCCCTTACAGGCGGATTTTGGACGAATTATTATCAATAGCTAAAGAATATTCCCCAAATGCTCAAAACTAGTCGAAGAATCGTTCCCATATTATTTTTCCTATTTTTGAGCATTCCTCCTGTAGAAGGACAGGCCCGACCTAAGGGGAGGGCCCACGCTTCGCGCGCAGGCCGAGCCGCCGGGCCAGGCCTCTGGGGCAGCAGCTGAGCTCGGCCAGCCGAGCTCGGCCAGGCTGGCCTCGCCTCGGCCCGGCCGAGGCGAGGAGAGCGGCAGCAGGAGGGGCCGAGGATGGGATTCGGCCGGCTGGTCGCCGGCCGCTGCAGGACACCGCCGCGGGCTTCGGGCCGCGCCACTCCGTGCCGCACCCCACGAAGCCGATGCTGTTCGTGGTGGGCGAGATGGGATGCGAGGTCGGCCGCTCGGGATGCCTGGCGTCACGGGCGGGGTTTCGCCGGCAGGTCCGCGGACGGCGTGCGTGGACCGCGCCGCGTCGGCGCCGCTCGAGGCGTCGTCGCTCCTCGACCCAGGAAGGGTGCGATGCGTAATTGTGTCGGCCCTCGGAGCCGAACAAGACTGTGCACCGTGCCGCGCTGGAGCGGGGCCTCGAGGGAGCCCAGACATGGCAAGGTTCATTGGTGCCGTTCCCGTACCAATCCCCGAGTTGCCCCCAGAAAAAAGGGCGCTCAGGAGGGAGGTAAGGTCGGGGATGCACCTTCAGGGGGCTACTCGGACGCACCCCCTGTCGAGGATGGGCGCCCCCCTCATCGTGTATCCTGGAGTTTGGCCAAACATGTTTGTTCCAGTCGAAAAGCCCCCAAAGTCGGACATTGGGGAGGCCCCCGAGAAACAAGGAGGTCCACGTGAATTTCTCGAGTGGGCGCCGGGCCCCCCTGGCGGCACTTCCAGCGCCGACCCAAGAGACCCAGAGTAGGAGGAGGAGGAGGAGGAGGAGGAGGAGGAGGAGGAGGAGGAGGAGGAGGAGGAGGAGGAGGGGGAGGAGTGCGGTCCTTTGTTCTTCCAGCACCAGGGGGCGAGGCGGACGTGTCGAATGTTCCCGAGAGGGCACCCCGCCTCTCCGAGGCCAGCCGGCCTCCCGAGAGGCCGCCCTCAGGCGGTCTCCGAGAGCGGGGTGCCAGCCTCTTCCCGGACGTCCCTTGCCCTCGGGTGCTGCCGCCAGAAGTCCCAGGCCCGAGGGACCCAGGATTCCCCAGAAGTCACGGACGGCCTCCGGAGCCCCCCGCACGAGGACCAGGGGCTTCAGGGGTTCCAGAGTGCTGCGAAGAGCTCGGGGCAGCTTGGGCCAGGACCACCTCTGGGAACCTCCGACGCCTCCAGGGCCGCCCTCGTCCTCGCCCGCCCCCCCATGACATGCCACCAGGGCCCACTGCCCCGCCAGAGGCAAAGCGAGCGGCGTGAAGATGGGGGGCAGGGTGGACGTTCGCGCGTAAGCTGCCCGCGTAAGGTCTCGCGTAAGCGCCCTCGTTTTCCATGAGGAGCGCCGCGTTGGCGGCCTGAGGAAGGCTTCTCGTCAGATCGCCAGATCGCCGTGCGTCAGGTCCGGTTCGTTTCGTCGCTCAGCTGTTGGCGCTACAATTCTCCTCTCGTGCCTTACCTCTCCCGTCGGCGCGACCGCTTGCCGCGGTGCCTTCGAAGATTGTCTCGAGTTGAACGTCTGGCATCCATCGCGAGGCGGTGCGTACCGTCGAGCCCGTGGTGTCGGCGCAGGGAGTTTTTCGGCCGCGCCTGCACGGCTCGCTCCACGCAGCCGCGCCCTCAGGATCGTTTCTCGCGTTGGCGCTCGGGAGCGAGGGCGCCCTCTGCCTCCGCCCCGTCGCAGACGACCTGCATGTACCGTACAGCTCGTGCGTCGCCCGAGGCGTCGCCTCCCCTCGACCCAGGAAGGATATGAGTACGGTGCACAGTTCTACGACGCCGAGGGCCGCACAGAAAGCTGTGCAGCGATGCAAAGGGGCACCTTTCTCGTGGGCGCCTGCTGCTGCCACGGCCTCCGCGGCGCGCCCCTGTGAGCCCCCAGGGCCCCTGCGCGCCTGCAGTGGAGGCCCATGCCAGAAAACACCCGGCTTGCCTCCAGGGTGCCCTGGGCTTCTTGGGTTTCGATGGTTCCGCGCTGGGAAAAAGCGCGACGTTCCCGCACCAAGAAGCAGTGGACGTCCTGGGGTCTCGGAGTCGGGCTTCTCGTGGGAGGTGTCGCGTGGTCGGGCCCCTGCGGTAGAGGTCCAACATGGCTGTGCGCCACGGGCGGGCGGCGCTCGGCGGAGGCCCCGCCGCGCGCGGCGGGCGCCGCCGGGCGCGCGCCGCCCGGGGCCTGCGCGGCGCAGGCCCTGCGGGCGCGGGCGCAGGCGCAGGCGCAGGCGCAGCGCCAGCACCCCCTCCCCGCGCTGGCGGCGGCAGGGCTCGGCGCGCCCGGCGCCTCGAGGTGCCGAGCGCTCCCGCAGGCGTGCTCGGAGGCGACGATGGCGGCGAACAGCCCAGGGTCTGGACGCCCGAAGCGGGTACGGAAGGAATGGGTGCGATGCCCAACAGCAGTTCCTGTTCATTTTGAACAGGACTCGCTGTCCGCGCAGCCGCGGCCTGTGTCCATTTGAGACAGGAGGCAGCCTGCCCAACAGTAGCAGCGGCCGCTGCTGGTTTGGGACAACATTTGTTGTTGGGCATTGTACCCATTCTTTCCGTGCCCATGTCGGGCGTCCAAACAGGGGAGAATAGCCCAGGGTATTCAGGTGCGCCGATGTCTTCGAAAAGACTCCCGGGGGAATACGTGTATATAATGCCCGCCCCTGGTCTATTCGCCCCTGTCGTCTCCGCCGACATGCTCGCGTCGTAACAGAAGTCAGGACGGGAGGTTTTTCGCTATGTTCGGCCCCAGGGGGGCCCTCGCCGGGCCCCGGGGCCGTCAGAAAACGACTCGAGAAGGAAAGCGGGTCCTGGGGAAAGGGTCGGGACTTCCGGGGGCGCCGTCCTGAACAAAAATAGGACGTCGCATGTTTGGGTCGGTGCTGCTCAGTACGTGGAGCGTTTTCCAAAAGTGGCTGGCATCTCCTCCTCGGCGGAAGCTGGCGGAGCAAAAATCAACGGCGGCTCCGCCGGCGGGAGCTGGCGGATGGCCCGCCACGCGTAACAGCCCGACGCGCGTTTGGCCCGTGCAGCCCCGCTGATCGCACACAGCCCGTGTCTGCCCTGATTACATCGCCCGCATCGCATTGAGAGGGGTCGGCGGACGAGCCTTGGCGCTACTAGACGTTCTGAGGACCATCGAAGCGCAGTCCCTCGGCCGCTCCCCCCGCCCTCCGCCGGAGAGCACGGCCGCTTGCGTCGCAGGTGCACAGTGAGTTCGCTGGAATACGATCCTGCTCGACGTTGGAAGGGGCTTGGTGGCTCCTTCTCCTTGCGTGCGTTCCGTGGCCTCTTTGGTGGCGAGCCCCATTTCGGTGATCCTTCGGATTCTACTGCCGTTCCTTCAGACTGCACGGCTCGGCTTGGCAGAAAAGAGGGTTTCGTTTCTTACAGACGGCCCTGATTATAGTAGGCCGACCCCCCTGTCAACTAAAGGGCACCCTTTGTGTCCTGTGTCTCGCGACCCATGCCTCCCACATTCCTGTGGCAGCGCGGCCCTCGGAAGGGGTATTCTGTCCTCTCGCGTGTCCTGTCCAATCAAGTCCGACTGTCCTTTTCCGCAGCCCGACTGCCAGCGGAAGCCCTACTCGTCAAAGGAGGAAAAAGGCACCTGTACCTTTACCGGCCGCCCTTTGCCAGGCCCCCCGGGAGGCCCTCCTCGCCACCGCCGGATTCGCCTCGAAAGTCTGGTCAGAGCGCACGCCAGGGGAGGTCCAGGGAGTAGCGGTGGCGGTGCCTTTTGGGCTCCCCAGCTCGGCGGGGGCTGTCCTGCCGAGGGCCCACGGCCAGTCGCCGCAGCGGTGCCCCCTGGCCACAGAGCAGGGGCCTCTCGCCGCGGGGGCAGGCGCGGGCCGCCCTGCTCCACTGCGGGGGAGGTTCGGCCACGCGCACAAAGGGGGCCCCGGCCTTCATCGGCCTCGCGCAGACCCTGAGATCCTGGCGTCGCAGTTTTTGCGAGCTGGGCGTTCTCGATTGACTTCGGGCCCCGGGACCCTCAGAGATCGAGCTCGAACAATGGCGGAGACAGAGGGGGTCTGGGGCTCGGGTCGTGATGTTTCACGACGGATCGATTTTTCGAGGCGTCGGATCTCACGGGATTGGGGAGGAAGGAATGCTTCTTAGAAGGATGCTGTTTCTCAGAAGGCGCGGGCCGTGTCTACAGATGGAAGGCTAGCGCCTTCCAAGAAGCCTTGTAAGAGGCAGCCTCCTTCTGAGAAGCCTTCCCCCTCCCCCTACCCCCTTGGACGCGCCGCAAAGGGGGCGCTCTGTCGAGAGGGCCCGCGGCACGGGTGTGCGTCGACGCCTGCGCGCAGGGCTGGCCGGGCTTGCGGCACCCGAGGTCGGGGGCTCTCGGAACGGGGGTCAGCGCTAACGCCGGGAGTTGCTAAAGGTGACCATGGCCCCAGGTGCCCTCAGCTTCCCTCTCCATGGTGGATCCCCTGGGGCCCCGTGGGCCTTGCGAGGGGTGCTCTTGAGGCCGTGCGGGCCTCCCTGGAAACCCTGGGGGCACCTTGGGCCAGGGGCACTTCTGGCAACCTCCGATCACGGGGGTCGGCCAGGCCCCTCCGAGAGCTCCTGGCCGACCCGGATTCGGGAGCCGCCCGGAGCCTCTATACCCCGCCCCCCCGCGCCCCAGGCTCCGGAGCTGCTCCGTGGCCTGCCTGGGCTCGCGTCGTGGCCCCGGCTGCTCTGGCTCTGCGCCGGCCCGGGTGCTTGCGCGTCCCCGGGGAGGGGCTGGCCGCATCGCGACGGGGCCGCGCGAGCCCCAAGACCGCGGACGACCTCCGAACCGCGTTTGCGTCTCCCGAGGCGTCGTCGATCTTCGATCCAGGGATGGCACGGTGCATGTCTTTGTTCGTCCCTCGGAGCCGAAGAACTACGCGCCGTACCGCGTTGGAGCGGGGCCTGACGGGAATCCACTCATGGTACGGTGAATGAGCGCCGCTCTCTTACCACGCCCCGTGGCGGCCCGTTTGCCGCCCGCTGCCCTCTCTGCTGACATAGACGGCTGGTTGTGTTCTACAGCCAAGGCTTAACAAAAAAGGAACAGTTTGGGTTCGGAAGGGGCTCGATGTTCTTTAGGTCCTTCCGTGGCTGTTCCTCTGGCCCTCTTCGTGCACCCGGGCCCTGCTGATGCCAAACATGGACCTGCGTATCTAGCGTTCCTCATTTCAGCAGCCCAGCTGTACGCTTGCGCAGTGGGCACATTCGGTGAGAGACCAGCCTGCAAGCATGTGCCCCACGGCAGCTTCTTATCCCTGGATGGCCCCCGGTACCCACAGAAGTTCTGGGGCACCCTAGGACTCGGAGGAGGAAAAGGTAGCCATACTGCTACCTGTGCCTCGTTTTCCGTTTTTTAGGCCTCCTGGGAGGCCTTCATCGCTACCGCTGGATTCTCCTAGAAATTCTGGTCAGAACGCAACCCGGGAGAGATCCGGGGAGTAGCCGTATTAGTACCTGCTGGTTTCCCAAAGACCCTCAAAGATCGATGAAGAATGTGCCCACATACTTGTTACAGCCATTTTTCTAGGCCTCCCACAAGGGGTCGGCGTAGATGGGGTCGGAGGATCGCGCCGCATCGCCTGATCATCGCCGATGCGGCTCAATGCGGAGCCTGATGTGCTCCACGCCGACGGCGCCGATGCATCGCCGACGTCGCCGACGCATCGCCGCTGCATGGGCGATGTGTCGGCGATGCATCGGCTCGATCCTCCGACCCCATCCACTCGGACCCCATCTAGGAGGCCTCCAATGTTTCCTGTAGCTGCCCTCGACCCTCAAGGACCCTCAGCGACCCTCAAAGACCCTACACGAAGGACCCTCAAGGACCCTCAAGGACCTTCTGGTTCCCCCACGGCCCCTCCACGGTCGAGGTAGCATGTGCCCACAGCCCTGTTGCAGCCATGCTTCCTGTAGCTGCCACCCCCCCCCCTCCTGCCCCCTCCCTCGCCCTCTTCCCCTGGTGCACCGCTCGTGGAGGCTGCGCGTGCCGGGGTGCGGCCGTGCCCGCCCGCGCGCCGCGGAGTGCTCCGGCCCCGTGCACCCTGGGCGGCGCCCGGTGCCTGCAGCATCGCCGCGCCTCGCCCCGGGCGACGGCGGTGCTTACCCTATATGGGATGGGCGGGGAGGACGGCTGGGTCGGACAATGAGGAGGAGGGGGAGGGAGCGAGGAGGGGGGCGAGGGAGGGAGGAGGAGGATCAGCAGGAGGAGAGAAAGCGGGGGATGATGAGGGAGGAGGTTGGAGGGGGGCAAGGGGCAGGGGCACAGGACGGAGGAGCAGGGAAAGGATGAGGAGGTCTGTATGGTGTATGCTGGGCAGCGTGAAGATGCGGATGAGCAGGAGGACGATACCGAGAAACTGGAGAGAAGCAGGTCCTCACCTACAACATCGACGAGACCACTGGCACTCTGACGCTCGCGTCCAGGACCCGCCCTGTGGGCCGATCCCCCCCTTTCCGGAACTCTCTGCACCCGTCATCGATGCATAGTTGCCTCTGTCCTCCGTGGCTGTCCCTGTCGAGGCTTGGGAGATCGGGCACGGGCGTTCCCTGGAGGCGTTTTTCAAGAGACTTCCAGAGGTTGGCGCTGACACCGGTGTCGACGGTTGCCTCCGCCGAGGGAAGATGATCCTGATGATGGTGGTACGAGTCGTGCTCCCTAGGTGGCCAGGAGATCAGCGCCAGCACCGAAATCTAGGATCATCTTCCCCGGGTGGATGCATCCTCCTTTGTTGGTGTTGTCGCAATTTGCAGGCCCCCAATATTTGGCCTCCCTCAGCAGGCCCGTTGGCATTTGGAAGTGCAGGCCTTCCGCCGAAGGCGTGTGCGTTCGGACTGTGGGGGGCCCAACTCTTGACGCTTCGTGAATCTCAGAGGAGGACGAGTCGGTACAATGGCAGTTGGCTATATGGGGCCCCATCATCGCCACGGCTGGACGTGGCTTGGACAATTTATGCAGTTGGATCCTGGGAGGGGTCGGGGGAACGATTTTGAGTTGCCGTTGTCTCAAATCTTCCTGCTCCGAGTATCCCCGCCAGCCCATCCAACAACGATGCCCAGGCGAGTCAGCCTGAGCAGGCCCAGGAGTCAACCATCAGTGCCTCCGCGGATCTTGCGACATGCGAGCTCACCTGAGGCATTTTGGAGGCCTTTGAGTCGCCCTGGAGGCACTCGGATGCCTTGGGGGCGACCTTGGGGCCATCTTCGAGGCCATCGATCACAGAAGGTGGGGTCATCAATTTCGACCCCTCCGTCGGAGGCCACACATTTGCCTTTTGGGGCCGTCTTGGCGCGCTCTTGGGTCCGTCTTAGACTCCTCTTGGGGGCTTGCTTGGGCCATATTGGATCCATCTTGAGGCCTCAAGGGCTCATCGAGATCGAAAAGAGCCGATCGGGCGGGTGTCGAAGAAGAAGGAGCTGCATCAACATACATGTTCGGAACTCCGCGCGGATTTCTTGGATCGGCGCTGAAACCTTTGGCTGCGCCTCCAGCGCCGCCCCTGGCACGCCACGCGCGCCAGGGAGGGCGGTCCAGCGCCGATCCAAGACATCCGCGCCGAGCTCCGTTTATGCAGTTTGTTGTTGCTCCAGGGTGTGTGCACCTTGATTGCTTACCGCATGCTCTCGCATCTGCTGAGCTGCTGGTGCTGCCGCTGCGCTTATCGCATGCACATGCTGTGCTTTAGTTGTTTTCTCGCTGGGTGCTTGTCCCACCCTCTTCGATGAGCCTCAGGACGCGTGCAAGCCTAACGTGTGCTTGCCACGATCAGCTCCACCGATAGCACGCAGCTCCCACCGCCTGCGTCGTGTTGAGGGTAATTCGGTGGAGCAGCACACGTTGGCGCTGACACGTTCGGAGGATCATCGACTTCTTCCGAACGGCATCCAGCCGTCGCCGGTGTCAGAAGGCCCTTGCCTTCTACATCGAGCTTCCCCGCCTTCTTAGAAGGCCGTCCCTCTCGTACCACCCTGTTGCCCGCGCCGCGAAGAAGGGGCCTTGATCGAGCGTCGAGGATCAGGGTCTTGAAGGTCGAGGGTCGAGGACTTTGAACGCCTGTGGCCCTTCTTGGCCTTCTGAGGACCTGCTGAGACCTCAGGAGACCTCCCGAGGGAACGGTTTTCAAGGAGGGTGTCCTCGGTCTGGTCGGTTTGGCGCCGTCGCAATGGGCCGCGTTCGGTCGGCTCGGCTCGGTCGGTTGTTGTGTCGTAGTTGCGTCGCTGCACCCTTCTAGGCTGCTTGCGGCCTGTCGTTTTCGGTCGGTTTCGATTTCGCTATCGGTTCGGTTGGTTGTCGGTCGTGCTGTCGCCGTGGACGGGCCTAGGTCACGAGGTTTCCCGCCATTTCCAGCCTCTCGGGGCCCTTCCCGGTGCCCGGAGACCGTCAGGAAACGAGGCCAGAATGAAAAGCCCGCAACGCGAGGCTGCCCCAGACTACCTGGTGTGCCTCCGTGGGCAGCTGGGACTACCTCTCGGGGCTGTATTTTCGCCTGGGTGTCTTCGCCAATCTACATCGAGGTGCTGTCCTACCTGTGGTCGTTTCTGTGCCCTGCCCTACCAAGCTGTAATTTCCGCACTCTGGCCACACGATTACGGTAGGTTTGCGTCGTGTCGACCAGCGCCGACCCCAGCGCGGGCGTTCAAGGTTGAACGCCGCCGGCGACCCAGAATCGATCGATGTGGAACGATCGGACGTTGCGGCAGCGGCCGATCGTTCAAGGTGGAACGATCCCTGCGGTGTCAAAAACCAACGCTGGGGTCGGCACGACACGAACCTGCCATACGCTTGGCACCCATGGTCTCAGCTTCGCTCCTGTCTTGCCGAGCCGACCGCTCGTGAACGCACCAGGAGTTTATATACGAGGCCAGAGTTTCTACGGGGCCGGAGCTTATGCGTATCCGTAGGGGGCCGAGGTCCGAGGACCCCAGCAGGCAATGGGTATTTCTAGATCCTGGCTTCGAGAGATTTGAGCCTCGCCATTCCCATGCGATGGGTATTTCTAGATTCTGGCGTCGGGAGATTTGAGCCTCGCCATCCTGCCAGCGTCGCGTGCTTCCCCCGTTGTCCTCGTCGCCAGCTCGTGCCCCTTCCGCCTCCCCCTGCGTCTTGAGTTTCGACCCCTCCCCCGGTCCTGTTGCTCGGCGCTCTGGAACAGTTGGGACCGTGCCGCCTTCGGAGTCGCCCCATCCCCACCTTCTTGGTGGCGCCTCGACGCTGCCTACGGCAAGACCCGCCGCCGTGCCTGGGCTGTGGGCTATGAGCCTAGTGAACGTGGCCTCTCGGGGGCCTCCGGGAAACAGTTTTAAGGCGTCTTTGGGGCCGTCTTGGGGCTTCCTGGGGGCCTCTTGGAGGCCTCTTGGGGCCTCTTAGGGGCCTCTTGGGCCCCTCTGGGAGCGCCTTGGGGCGGAAGGCTCGGATTTTCGGTTTGTGTTCCTTTTCTGGGGCCCCCTTTGGGGCCGTCTTGGGCGCCTTTTGGGCCGTCTTGGGCGCCTCTTGGACCGTCTTGGGGCCCTCTTGGTGGCCTCGAGGGTTGTTTGGGGTGGTCCTGGGGGCATATTGAGCCGTCTTGGAGTGTCAGAGTTCCGAAAATCGCTCGGAAACGTAAGGACAATCAATGTTTTGTGCCTTTGGGGGCCCTCTTGGGAAGCCTCTTGGAGGCCTCATGGGGTGCCTTGGAAGCCTCTTGCGTCTTATCGAGCGATCTTTCGGCGATTCGTGCGATCTGTCTTGCGGCCATCTTGGGCGTCTTCGAGCGATCGTTCGGCGACTCGGGGCCCTCTTGGACCGTCGTGGGGCCCTCCTGGGCCGTCATGGAAGACTTAGAGAGCCCAGGGAGGCGCCATGGCCGCCCAGGGACCCCCAGGGAGCATACCCAGTGCGCGCAACGACGTGCGGCCCTGAGCAGGGGGGGCCCTTAGAAGATTACAAAAGCCCTGCCAGACAGCACTTGGCATTCTACCACGCCTCAACGTGCCAGGGGGCAAGGCGGCTGAGATATATCTATATATACACATATACATAGAAACGTGTATATATATATATATATATCGATCGATGAATGTATTCATTTTGCGGTGCGCCTCGGTAGATATACATGCCCTCCTGACCTCACCCCCTCTTCCCCGCCGCGTCCCGGCTTGTCTCCACGCGTTATTTAGCCGTCGTTCGACCACGGCCAGCGCTCAATCGCCCGATCTCTCCGTCGCTCGACCTCTCCGTCGCTCGATCGTTCCTCGGCGGTACCCCGCCCCACTGCTCAAGTCGCTGGTGCTGGCGCGCACAGAAGGGGGGCGGCGGCCGCCCGCCCAACAGTCACGGGAAGAGCACCTGGGAGGAGGGGAGACGGGGGCCACCCCGCCTTTGGAGAGGCCATTCCAGCCAGTTCGGCTCTGTCGCAGTCGGCAGTCTTCGTTCGGCTCGCTTCGGTCGGCTGTCGTGTCGTTGCTGCGCCGCCCGCCCCTTCTGAGGCGCCTGCGGCCTGTCGGTGTCGGTTGGTGTCGGTTTCGTTGTCTCTTCGGCCAGTTTTCGGTCGGGCCGTCACCGTGGATTGCCCTGAGACAATGGCGGCCGCCGAAATTTTGGATCTTATGGTGCTCCTGGCCAGAGACCTCGACGTCGCAATCAAAACTGCAAAACCGTGGATCATCATGACCAGAGCCCTGGACACCATCTTTCTGCCGCAGCTCTCGAGCCGAACCATCGATACCCGCGAGTCATCGGTATCATCGACGCGTGAGTTCAAGAAAGCAGTAATGAGTCGAGACAAACTATACACACATGAGACTTCTATCTTGGAATGCAGCCGACATGATTGAAGAGTCATTTGAAGTGCTCTTTGTGGAAGTAAGCAACATGAAAGTTCGTTAGGAGATTATATTACTGCAGGAAGGCCCGAAAAGCGAGTCTACCACCATAAGCGAACGCTTGGGAAGTCACTTTTGCTGCGTGGCGGCAGGGTGACAGTGACAAGAGTATCGCTATGTTGATGCATAGAAGCTTGGCTGCTGAGTTCGAAGGCTTTCACTACTTGGATGGCGGTTGAGCAGCCTACGCTGACTTTGCAGGACAGGCTCAAGCATGGATAATGATATCTGTACGCAAGCCTCACGGCAGCCGCTCGGACATTGAGTACGAACTCGTTTTGGTAATGGTGCAATCGGTTTCCCAGCGTTCCGTTAACAGTGATTGGAATTGACCCGATTGCAGAAGTGGGCCAGCATGAGAAGATGGCAACCCAAACAGCATCGGCGAATATTGTTTGGGAGACAGGACATACAGTGGCGACCACCTTCTAGCCTGCGCAACCCAAGTCAAGTTCACCATGACGAACACCTACTTCAAACTATTGGATGCTATTACGACGTGCAAGTTTTGGAGCATCGGGGAACGCAGGCAAACCGACTACGTGTTGGTGGACACGTCATTACTACCATAATTAATCAACGCAGATATGGTTCCCGATTTTCTTTACCGTTCAGATCACAGTGCGGTATGTGGCGCGCCCGGAAGAAAAGGAACAAATGGTCACGCCAAAATGCAGGACAAGGTTGGACGCCCAATGTCGAACAAAGACGCATGCACCACGAAGTTCAGAGCCCTGTGCTGCAGGAGTGTTCACATAATACGACGGCAGTCACACAAAACATTTTGAACACAGCAGCGGGATGCGGCAAGGTGAAAGCAAAAGAAGGAAGACAATGCTAATATTACGACGACAAAATCGAACGGTTGAGGAAAGAGAAGGACGAGGCCATCATATCGAAGTTTCAAAGCAATACGTCTGAACAGGGAGTAGCGGCAGCGTCCTTGAGAAATGCAAGCGTATCGTTAACAGCGAAGACAGCGAGGGTCACATGGGAACCGAGTGGAAGGGGATTGCAGAGGCATTAGCCTCTTTTCGTCAGTTGTTGTATGCAGCCCCCCGCGAAACCATCGTGGACGCACCACGAAGAAGTAAGAATCCGGCGCAAGTTTTTCGTTTTTGTCCAGACAGTTTTTTGTCTTGCTTGGGAGAGCCGAAGCGCACGAAGGCTGGTGTTGAGGATGGCCTCGTGGCGGAGATGTTGAAAGAGAGGGGGCCTGTAATGGTTGAAGCACACATTAATGTTTGATTTTCTGGCGTGCGGCATGGGGAAACACCTTCCAGAGTCGTGGAGCGTATTCAACATTGCTGTGTTATTGAAAATACGAGAAGCGACATACATCAGCCAAGAGTTATTAGGTCCATCGCCATCATCCCGGTATTGGGCAAGCTATACAGCAGCGTGTTGTTGACGAAAAACGAGCACATGTTAGCTCGTTCTTGAATTCTTGAGCATGTCGGTTTTGCAAAGGATACGGCTTTTGCGATTTTTTTTATAAACAAAAAAATCAGCGAAGGGAAAACGGTATGAGGTGCCTCAGTTGATTCATTGGTTGACGCTGCACCGCCGACCCCTTGGGGCGCAATCATGAGTGACATACGGAGTTTGCGGAACGGGCGTCTCGGGGGCCTCTTGGGAGCCTTTTTGGGGCCCATTGGCGCCTCCTCAAATTTTTTCGGGGCCGAGGGCTCCAAATATTCATTCGTGTTCCCCCTTCTGGGCCGCCTCTTGGGGCCGTCCTGGGGCCCTCCTGGGTCGTTTTGGAAGCTTCTGGGGCCATCTTGGGGCCCTCTTGGGCCGTCGTGGAGCCTTGGGGGCCTCTTGGGCTATCTTGGGCCGATCTTAAAGGTTTTTTCAGCCTTTGTGGGCCTCGTGAAAGCTCAAGAGGCGAGTGCGCTAAACATACACGCTTTCCCTCGGGAGTGGGACGATTTTTGCTTCTGGAGGGCCTCTTGGGCCGCCTCTTGGTGGCCTCTTGGGATGTCTAGGGGGCCTCTGGGACCGTCTGGAGGCGATCTTGGGCGTCTTTGAGCGACCTCTCGGCGACTCGTAGCCCTCTTGGACCGTCCGGGGGGCCTTTTGGGGCCCTGTCACCTTTGCCCCCCGCCCCCCCCACTCCCCCCCTCCACACCGGCCGGACCGGGCTCCCGGGGGAGGGGTTTGGGGAGGGGAAGCATTTCACACGCCGTGACACCAAGGGGTCGGCGGATTTGCAACGTGCATTCGGCATATTCATACACACGGCAGTTTCCACGGGGGTGCATGCCCTTCGCGTGCACGAAAAAAGAGCTATGCGCAATCCAGGACATGTGCGGACAGCAACAGCCATACTTTCGTGCAGTTGGACCAAAATTCTTGCAGCAGGTTTGACATTGTACGTGGCGCTAGACAAGGCGATCCGATACCACCGGCGTTTTACACAAATGCAGTCACAAACACAGTGCGACATATCTCTGCACGAACGAAATATGTACATTAAGAATCGGTACAATGCCCAGCAGCAGTTCTTGCTCATTTTGAACAGGACTCGCTAACCGCGCCGCCGCGGCCTGTGTCCATTTGAGATAGAAGGCCGCCTGCCCAACAGCGGCCGCTGTCGGTTTGGGCCAACATTTGCTGTTGGGCATTGTACCCATTTTTTCCGTACCCATTTCGGGCGTCCAAAATATCATGGTGAAGTTGAGGGAGCACGGGGATTTAACGCACACGGGTGCGTCGTTGGAAGCAATTGCTTGGAGGTATGTTGGATGTGTTACGCCATACCCGTTGACGACACCCCCTGATTCGCCAAATCCAGACAATTCTTTGCAAGAGTGTTGGGGGATATGTTGGAAGACTTGGTTAGAGCACTCTTGACTCTGAATGCAAACAAATACAGCGTGCAAGGCTTGGACAAGGGCTGCAGTCGCAGGTCAAAAGTCGTCAACCTAGGGGGAGCAGGGTACCCCCTGACAAAGAGCACGTCGGGGTTCAAGGCATTGGGAACGATGACCACAATGAACGGACGTACGTCGATAGAGTTGAAGGCGCGGCTCACAGACAACATAATATCGACATGGATCGTCGCAGCCAAAACAATCACGGGGAACTCAGACATGCCCTGTCCGGTCTCGACTAGGACGCTTCGTTCGATGAGAGGACGATTCTGTATTGTTATGAAAGATAAAGGATGTGAGCCGTGGGCTGAGATGGCCAAGATGCTTGGGGCATGTTGCAATTGTGAAAATTATCGCGTTCACCGCAAAGGCGCTGACTCGCTTCAGTTTTCCGAAGTGTCAGACCTGCTTGCTGCAATTCGGCCTTCCTGGAGGCCAGCAGTTATGATGCGTCTGCCGCCCTTTCGTAGGTCGCGCCTGGGCGATGGCAGACTCGTTTGTTCGTTCTCGAGCCAGACCGATCTGCGAGGGTTCTGGAGCCCGAAATGGAATGGAAACGCATGGTGTCAAAGATGCTAGACGCCCAGATCTCAAGGTCATGACGCTCCCTTCGTCGATTTGTCCAGTATTGTGACATCGGAACTGACGTCTCGACTTGTCGCGGGGGTCCACATTACAGGGCCAGCCTGCTCGGTTCGCGGATCATTCGCCTGGCGTGGATTCTGCGAGCCCGTCTGGAAACGCGCCAGATCGGGGACGCCGAAGCAGGGCTTAACGGTAGTAGTTGTTTTTGTTTTGTGGTGTTTCGCCGATTTGCGCGGGCCTACGCCCCCCGCCCTCCTCCCCAACCCCTCCCTCCCCCCCAGTGACCAGATCTTGGCTGCTTTGGGCGGTTGCTTTTGTCGACTGGTCAGGACCCTCCCCTCCCAGTCTGCTTGCGCGACTGGCGAAAACAGATGGACGAATCACCAGCCCAGACCCAGACCCCCCCACACCTTCCGGCCACATGTCGAAGCCCTTTGTGTACATGTCCAAGAAGAAAAAGCGCTTCGTCGGAGGAGGGCCAGTCGAGACAACGCCGCCCTCCTTTGCGTCGTTCGTTTTTTCTCTCGGCCTCCTGGAGGCTTCTCGTCGCAACGCCTTGGTCCACCTCGAACGCTGGGGCAGGATGGACCCCGGGAGGGGTCCGGGGACGGGCCTTGAGCGGCTGGGCCGAGAGGGGGAGCCGCCGTTGTCTCAACTGTCTTTCCTCCGATCGCCGAGGTGAGCCTCTCAGGCTGAACCGGGTTTGGGGGGCCACGTCACGTGGGGCCGACTCCTACCGCGCTTCCTTTCGTTGTCTGCCTAGGCCCGGGCCTTCCGACCAGAGCTCGCCCAAGAGTGGTCCCTGGAGGTCCAGCCTGGCCAGGATTTCTGAGCCGCGTCTGGCCGTGGTCGCGGGTCTCCCCAGTCGAGGATCATCAGGACCTGCGTGAGCCCAGTGTGTGTGTGTGTGTGTGTGTGTGTGTGTGTGTGTTACCCCGTCCAGCTCCGCCGATAGCACGCAGCCTATGTCGGCCTTCATTGCGTTGCTAGTGTCGTATCGATGGGCGTCGTTGGACAAGCACACGGTGGCGTTAGCACACGTTGCGTGGTTCATTGACCCAGAGACGTTTCAAAGCCTTCGAAAGCACGTTGTCTCCGCCAGCCGCCCGCCGCCAGCGTGTCCACGAAGCCGAACACCGACCCGCCCTCATACGGCAGCAAGGCCGCGGAGGTGGTCATCTCGCCAGATGGGCTGCCCTCCCCCGGCGGACTCTCGGGACGGAGGATGAGGGAGGATGAAGCGGAAGTTGGGTTGCAAACGTCGGAAGCCGTAGATCCGAGCAGACCCGAGCAGAGTTAAGCCTACAGAGTCGTGGATCCTCGATCCTCGAGGGCCGAGGGCAAAGCTCAGGCGGAGGACGAAGAGGAGGAGAACGAGCAGGAGGACAAATTGCACTGGCAAGTTTTGGTGCCGCCCTGGATCCTGAGCCGCTGGTCCAAAGGATGGTCAATGTCGAATCGCGCTTCCAAGCACCTCCCTTCTCGATCTTCCAGCGTCGATTGAGCAACACTCAGGACGAGGAGGAAGACGAGGATGAGGACGACGGTGACGAGGAGGAAGAGGAGGAGGCGGAGGACGACGACGACAGGCTGCACGTCTACGCCAGCAACCGCGCCTTCTCACCCGGCTTCCGCCACACCGTGGCCGTCTTCCGGCTCATGGACGGCGGCGTGTTGGAACCGATACAGCAGATGGAGCCCCCCCCGGCGCCGACGACGACGCCGGCCGCCTCTCTCCTCCTGCTCTTCCTTCCTCCTGCTCTTCCCTCCTTCCTCTTCATCCTCCCTCTCCTCTTCCTCCTCCTCCTCATCATTTTCTGTTGCTGGCCTCGGGTCATCGGCGGCCGAGACACTCCCTTTCCAACCACCCCAGCACGTCCCCGCCCCACTGGCCTCGACCCGCTGTCCTTGCACCTCCATATCCCGCGGCTGTCCTTGGCTGCGGAGTGGAAGGAGGCAGCGCAGGCTTGGTCCTCGTCCACGAGCTCGATCAGCTGCCGCCTCCTCTCCTTCACCGTCGCTGGGTGGACCGCGCGAGAGGAGGGACTGCACAAGCTCTTGGCCTCGACGGCTACCTGGTGTGCCACCGTCACGCAGTGTCCTTGCACACGGAGAGAGAGCGTTGGTCTGCATTAGCAACTTGCGTGGCGGCAGACCAAAGCATGTGGCAAGCAACCGTGGCCTCCTCAGCTGCTTTGTCTGCCGCAGCGTTCCAATGCATCTGGTGGGACCCTCCAAGATTATCTTCAGAGGCCGGGGCCGCATGTCTCTTGACTTGTAACCTACGGATTTGGCACCCCTCGGCCCGGCGCCAGACCCACTTCCAAGTATTAGACACTTGACGAAACTCAGCCCCCACATTGAAGGTTGTCACAACACAGACTTCGTGATGGGCCCCACCATGTGGGCGAGGGACTCTGTGGCCATTTGGGCTCGGCCATGGGACCAGTCTGCGTGTGCCCTGGCAGAGGCCCGTGCACCCCCCCAAACGGACTGAGAGTAGAAGCCCTGACGGCTGCAAGATCCCAGGCGCAACGACGGAGGCGCTCTTTGGCCGAATATTTACCCTCTGGACCGTCCGATGCCAGGATAGTTTTCGAAGGAGGGAAAGGTACCCATACCGCTACCCTTCCCTTTTTCCCGCCCTTTTGGGCCACCTGGGAAGCCGTCGACGCCACCGGTTGGTTCGCCTCGAAAGTCATGTCTGTTCACTCTCGGGGAGAGGTCCGGTGAGTAGCTGTGTCGGTACTTTGTTCGGTTTCCCCAAGGAACCTCGAAGATCGATGAAGATTGCGTCCTCTGACTTGTTATAGCCGTATTTCTATGCCTTCCAGATGGGGTCGGCGTAGATGGGGTCGGAGGATCGCGCCGCATCGCCTAAGCTACACCGACGGCGCCGACGCATCGCCGACGCCGCCGACGCATCGCCGATGCATCGGCGATGAATCGGCGATGCATCGGCGATGACGCGCGATCCTCCGCCTCCATCCACTCGGACTCCCTTTGGTTTCCTCAGTAATCATCTCCCGGCTGAAGCTGGATCGGTCCTGGGGCAAGCGAGGCAGAGAGGACGGTCCTGGCGACGACCATCGTGTCGGCTGGCGCCTGGGTCCGCCAAGAGGGTGGGAGCCCGCGCTGGGGCCTCTTGGACCCCAGCTCGGGCATCCTCCGACAGCTCCTTGGCATAGCTGGGAAGTGTGCATCTTTCCTCGTCGAGGGCCATCGACGAGCATATTGGATCATTCGAAGGAAACATAAGCGCGAAGCCACAACATGCACGGGGAAAGGGCGTCTTAGCGATGGCCAGGCTCAGGCTGGTCCCCAGGGATGTCCGCATTCCTCCACCACGCCCACATCAGGTGAAGCAGCGTTTTCTCAGCTGCGCCACGCCGAGGGCACATGTGGGCCAGCCCGTGCGGGGTGCGCCCAGGACCTGGATCGCCCAGAAGCGGCTCCCCAACCAACAGGCACATGCCGTCTTGCAGGGCGGCTAGGTCCACCGCGTGCTCGAGATCAAGGGGGGGGGCGGGAGGCGCGCAGGCGCAACGGCAGGAGGTTTCGAAACCGAGGTTCCCGACTGGGCGACCCGAGCAGGGGCCTCGAGGATGAGCGGGGCCACCTCCAAGCGCTCGTGGTCTCCTGAAACCTCTCCTCCAGCCCCCTGCGACACCTGTTCCCTCTCCAGCCCGAAGCTGCGCGAGTTGTGCCACAAGGCCCCCGTGCAATCCATTTGGAGCACCGCAGTCTCATCATCGTACTGCTGTCGGCTCTTGAGCCTGGACAGGTGTCGCTGGGCCACCGTGAGATCCACTCCCAACTCAGCCCCGCCCCCCCGTGATAGTAGCGGCTAGCCATGCCCCATGGTCACCGCTCAACAGTACAACTCAGGGCAAGCTCGAGCAAACAGTCGGTGTCCCCGTCAAGTAGATAGTATGTTTCGCCGTCCGCAGGGTCAATACAGAGCCAGGGTTGGGAGTTTTCTAGCCAAGATCCAGCAGGTTGGCGACGACGGCTTCCATCGGTCCCTTGACTTGACCCCATTTGGATTTGGTGGTGGTGAGCTCATCCCAAATCTTTTTCTGGGCAGGGCTCAGCGGGGCATGTGCTTCGCAAACAATGCCGTGTAACATTTCACCCCAAATTTGAACAATCTGCAGTCAGCCAAAAACTAGCGGGTCCTGCTTGGCGCTGAAGGCCAGCCGAATGGCAATGCTTGTGTAGCTTCCCTCCTTTCTGATCCCCGTTAGCCACGATACCTGGGCTCGGAGCTGTAGGAGGGCGCTAGGCGCCATACCCTTCCCATCGAAACCCCGCGTGCCCTGTGTACAAACACTGGCTTTACCTGACTTGGCTGCCTGGGGTTAGCCATGGGAACTCGCGCACTCGTGGCCCCTCGACCTCGGGCCTCAGCGTGTTTCTTCTCTACCCCGACGACCGACGACCCGACGAACCGTCTACCCCGAGACGACCCTTGATTCTTTGCGGGGTCTGCATGGGGATCACTCTCGCTGTTAGGATCTGTGAAACTCTGGTCCGGAGCTCTGGCGCGTTGGCAACGATGGCCTTCCTGCTCGAAACGGCATGGCCGCCAGCTGCGCAAGTGGATGCTAGTGAGGAAGCCACCTGCTCTGACCGATTCTGGACAAACCAGCTGCGTCCGAGAACGCGCTGGGACACCTCGTCCACCCAGGCGTCCAGCTGCAGGGTCTATACTTTGCGCGCACACCGTGCAAGTTGCCCACGCATCTACTCTTGATGTACGAACTAATTGGTTGGTGCCTGTCAGAAGCCCGTTGACCTCCTTCGGCGTGGAGTTTCCTGGGTTCCAAATGGATCTGCATGGCCAGACAGGGCGGGCCCATGTGACGGATACTCGGCCTCCCTTGCCAACCCAATCGCCCCACCCCGCTGGGTATGCTTGTAGAATTGCCAAGGTCCCACAGGATGTCCAGCCACGAAGAACACTTTGTAGGCTGGCCCCCTCGAGACGGAGCTGGCGCAACAACGCTGCGCTCGAAGGACAGCCGCCCCTCGCCGTCCTCCCTGCGCCCCAATGCAGGCCAGGTTGTGTGCTGGGCCTGTGTCAACGTGATGGGTCTGTCGGCTGTTGCTGACTTCTAGTCGAGTTTGTCTACCTTGTTTTCCACCTGCGCTGGCCACTCCAAGTTGGTCTCAATATCTGGGAGGGACCTGGAGCAACTGTGCCAAGCCCTCCTCTGGCAGCTGGGCCCGCCTGTGTGGGCTCAGGCAGTCGAGGCCCCTGCTTACCCCGCCTGTAAAGATCTCCGAACCTAGTTCTACGCCTGTCACGCTCTCGGGGGCAAGGATCTTCAATTCAGGCCATCATCATTCCCCCTTGGGGTCTACGTTTGGGGGTCCCTTCTGAGCCCTCACGCCACCAGCGTCTAGACCAGAAATTCTAGACGCTTCTCGTAACCCCACCAGCCGCGCGTAGCCCGCCCGATTCTTGACGTTGCTGGCGAGCTCGCCTGCGGCCGCGACAAAAAAGTAACCCCACCAGCTCCCCGCCCCCTGGCGCCGAGCCACCCCCCTTGCCCCGCGCCCCGCGTGCCCGCATGGGGCCCCTTCGACGCCTCTGTCCTCGCCTTTGGCTCCAGGGCACACAGGCGCGTCGGAGCCGTTTCACCGCCGTGGACCCCGTCGCCACGACGCCCCAGCCCAGCGGCCTCTGCTCCGCACAAAGGCGCCGCCTCGGCCCCTCTCTTTCCCTCTCGCCGCACAGCGGGCGCGGGCCGCCACTACTGGTCGCCTGCCCGCTCTCTGCGGCCCTTTCGCCGCCACGGCCCCGCCGCCCACCGCGGCTCTCGGCTTGCGGCGGCCCTTGCCTGGGGCCCGCCGGCCATTCGGTCCGCCCCGTACCACGTGGGTAGCGTTCCGTTTCTGCTCCCCGAGCGGGATCCGACACCTCAGTCGTCCTGCCGGTCTTGGCGATCCCGACTCCCGTCCGTCGAGCGCCTTCATGCCAGCTGTCTTTTTCACTGCTTACGGCGTGCCTGTTCCACGGCGCGAACTGCTGTTCGGTCGTCGCCACTCACTCGCTCCGCCGACACCCACATTGGCTTCGACGCACCAGAAGGCTTGCTCCCCCTTGCAGGGATGCATCGCCCTTGCCGCGCTCAGCCACCCGCGTGCTGCCCCCCGTACAGGCGCAGGCGCTTGCGGCTTCCGCTATCTCCCGCGGGGTTGCCCCACGCCGCAGTCACGGGACACCGCACTGCCAGCTCATTCCCCGCCACTTTGGCGTGCACCTCCGGCGGTTGCTAGCTGCCGATGGCACCCCCTCCGTGAGCGCCGCGCGGCCCGCCCCGGCTAGTCTCACCTCCCGCTGTTCTCTTGTTGTCTCTCTTCTCCTCTCTCTCTCTCTCTCGTGCGCAATTTAGGCTCCTGCTGGTTAGCTGTAGCTTTGGACGGCGCGCGGCCCTTCATTTTGCGCTCGCGAATAAAAAAGTAACCCCGCCAGCCCATCCAGAAACGATTATCAGAGGAATTGCCTCGATCAGCGAAGTGGGCAGCACGCAGAGGAAGGGTCCCCTAGTGGAGGCCTCCTGGAGCGTCTTGGGGGCTTCCTGGCGGTCCCGGACGCCTCTTAGAGCGTCTTGGGTGCCTCGGAGAGCTTCTTGGGGCCTCTTGGGGGTCTTTTGGGAGCCTCTTGGAGCCTCTTGGGCACCTGTTGGGGTCTCCCGGAGCCTCTTGGGCGCCTCTTTGGGGCCCTCTTGAAGCGCTTCTGGAAACTTTGGGAGCGCTCTTGGAGCCCTCTTGGGCCATCTTGGAGCCATCTGGAGGCCTCGGATGGCCATTGGAAGCGAAAGGGCGAGAAAGCCAAACACATAGATTTCCTACGTTTGCCTCTTCGGGGCCTCCTGGGGGAGCTTTTCGGCCACTTGGAGCCGTGTTGGAGCGGGGCCTCTGGGAGCATCGTGGGGGCCATCTTGAGGCATCTTGGAATGTCTAGGGCATCGTGGAGGTCATCTTGGGCTCCCCCAGGCGCTCTTGGAGTCATGTTAAGCAGTGCCCCCCACCAGGATGCCAAACTGTGGCCAACAACCTTAGTTACTTTAGTGATTTTGGCATTTTCGCCGAGGCCTCTTGGGGCGTCTTGGGTGCCTCTGGGGGGCCTCTTGGGGCCTCCTGGGGGTTATTGGGAGCCTCTTGGGGGCATCCTGGGGGCCTCTTGGGGGCATCTTGGCCCCCCTGGCCACCTCTTGGGGCCCTCTTGGAGCAACCTTGGGCGCCTTGGGAGCGCTCTTGGGGCTATTTCGGAGGAGATCGATCAAAAAAAGGGTGTCCTCAATTGCGCCCCCCCCCCCCCCAAGAGGCCAAACTGGGACCAAAACCGTCGTAAAACCAATGCTGTGGGTTTCCTCGCCGAGGCCGTTTTGGACGCTCCAGGTCCATGGGAGGGGGTAGAGGGAGCGGCCAACCCTCCCCGAAGGGGAAGAGGCAGGGGTGGAAGAGGAAACGCCTTAAACCACCTACGCCCACAGGGTTGGTGGGACTAGCCTTGCAAGCAACAGCCTTGCGAGGCTCATGTGTAATCCGCTTGCGCTGATCTAGTTTCTGGGCAAGCTCAGGCTCTCCGTGGCCCCAGGCCTTCGTCCACCTGTGTCGCCCTCCTGCGCCAGCGCGGAGACCGCCCAAGACGCACTCCTTGAAACCTTTTGCGGGGTTCTCGCGCGACTCTCGTCTCCCCCCCGCCACCGCCCTTCGAAGCTCCACCCCCGCCCCCTCGAGGAAAGCAACATCGGCTAGCTGAGGGCGCGGCCGGGCGGCAAGTTTCTGCACGGGAGCGGGGCTGCGCACGTGCAGCCCTGTCCCTTCCGAGGACCTGCATCGTCCCGCGTGTCTTTGCATGGGCTCCTGGGCCCCGTTGGCCAGGTGTGGTCTTCTCACCCTCTCGAGAGTGGTCAGGGCCTCCTGGCGCCGGGGCTCCAGGGCCATCCACCTGGCGAGCAACAGCCTGGAGATTCTGGTTTGGCTATGCTAGCGGTGTTCGTCTCCGCGGTCTAGCGGCCCTCTCGTAATCCACCTCGGTACCTCTGTCGGCGAGCTGCGTCTGGGTAAGACGAGTTTCGTTGTTTCGTTGATGTGGGTGTTTTCCGTTGCGGAACTGGTGCAACTGGACAGAGTTGTTCATAGAACTGGTCATCGATCTGGCCCTTAAAAAAACAGGGTCCGGCATAGAACTGGCCGCTAAATCGAAATCGAGTAGATAGTTTTTTCCAAACATGAAACGGCCAGTTCTATGCCTGTCCCTATTTTAAGTGGACCATTCATATGACCAATTCTATGACCAGCTCTATCCAGTTGTAGCAGTTGTACCAGCTCCACGCACTTCTTCACGCAAAGGGAAGCCGCGGGGCTGCCAGGGCGCGACGTTGTTTGTTTTTGTTGTTGGGCTTCCTTCGTTCGATTTGCTTTGCCTTGCTTTGCGTTGCATGTCCGCGGTTGGCCTTGCAGTGTGTTGAGTGCGCATCATCGCCACCATCACCGCCATCATCACACGCGCCGTTGTCAACTGCACGCGTGACCATTGCGCTACCTGGATTCGAATTGCATGGCCAGGGGTCCTATCATGGTCTCACCCACCTGGTCTTAAGGCCTTCATCCACCTGCTCTTAAGGCCCTCATTGACGTCCGCTGTGGTGGTTCGTCCGTTCGTCCGATCTTCGATCCTCGATTGATTTTTTTTCAGGCCCATCCAGTCCTCCAACCTTCTCCAAGCCTCCACCCCCTTCCAACCCGCTCCATGCCGATCCAACCCCGCCCGTCCCCCTCCGACCCCCTCCAGTCCTCGTTTAACCCCGTCCAACCCCGCTCCATCCCCCTCCAGTCCCCTCCAGCCTCCAGCTCCCTTCCGAATCCCTCCAGCCTTGGAGCCCCCACCCAAACCCCTTTGAGCCCCCTTCTAACGCCCTCGATCCCTCTCTGGGCTCCGCCATTCTTCCCTCTCCTCCGTACTCGTCCAGGCTCTGCGCTTCTCTGCATCTCGCACTCGGCATTGCTATATGCTTATCGCTCGTCCTAGCGTTGCTTGGGCCTTCGCGTGAGACGTACACACATTTGGAGCAGTTCGCGTAAACAGCATAACCACCTTAACAGGGTTGATTACCACGGCGGGTGGACTAAGTGTCCACGCGTGTCTCGCCAAGAGCTTGAGTCATTCAAGTACGTCGGACCAACATGTATGCCCCCCTTCCTCTAAATTCAAAGTTGACGGGTTTAGGCGGTAGGCCAAAGGCCAGGGACACAATGTGGACATTTCAATTTTGGGTTTGGGGGGAGGGGTTCGAAGCAAGGGCAGTTCGCAGTTGTGGTTGTTATCTTGTTGCATCGCCTTCCCGCCATGGGTGTGGACACTTTTTGTCCGATCGCCGTGGTTTTCCGCGGTCATGGCGGATTCCGTGCATCCCTCGGACGCCCATGTCTTGGAAAGCAATCGTCCCCATACTCCTCTCAACCTTATCGTGCACCTCTCTGACGTGGTGGGCCCAGTTCCTGTCGGGGCTCCTCATCCCAGCCGTGATGCCAACGGCCACTAGGGAAATCCTGTACTGGGCTCCGTCCTCCTTACTTCCTCCTTACTTCTCCCTCATTGTTCCTTACTCCCCCTTCCTGCTCCTTCCTCCCTCCTCCCCCTCCTCCTCCTCCTCCTCCTCCTCCTCCTCCTCCTCCTCCTCCTCCTCGTCCTCCTCCTCCTCCCTCATCCCTCATCCCTCATCCCTCATCCGTCCTCCCCCCTTCCCTCCTCCCTTCCTGCAACTTCTCACCCTCCCTCCTGGCTACTCCTCCCTCATCCCTGTTCCGCGGGACATCCATGATGCCTGTCACGACCCCCCCAATGCACGGGGCCTCGAAAGATTCCCCGGAGTTCAAAAAGGGATACACGCTTTAAAGACCAGGAAATTTGGGACCTCGATCTTTGAAAGTCCAGAGGTCGCCCCAGATCTCCAGCCATGTATTCGTAAATCCTTTTTCTTGGGGCAGTTGCCTGGCCGTTTCCTGACGCTCCTACGTGCCCCCCAACATTGCCGCAAAACCGCCCAACTAAGAATCCTAAGGCTGCCGCCTCTGCCGCCGACCCCAATTTCGGCCTCGAGTTTCTTCGGGGAGTATCGTTTGAAGGGCGGTATCCGCTTTTGGAGTCGTCCTGAGGCTCTCGTGGGCATCGTGGGCCGCTCGTAGAGCCCTCTTGGGGCGATTTCGGGAGCTCTTGGGGCCGTCTTGAAGCTCTCTGAGGCTTCTTTTCTGCATGGCGCGGGTTTTGGCGGAGCCTGTTTCAGGCGTCTGAACGCCCGCGATGGGTCAAGCTTGAGCAATCTTGGGCGCTCCAACCCCTCCTGGCGCTGTTCCTCTAGGTGCAGGGGAGTGGCCAGGTTGCAGACCCCCCCGCCGAAATGGCACAGTGGGACACGGTCCACGGAGACTTCAAGACGCCACAATACAAATCCAAGCGACTCCTTGCCAGGCCAGAGGAGGCAAGACATGCATTAGTTGTCAGGATCTTCATTGTGGTCGGGCCTCTCTCCTTCCCGCCGTCGTCGTCGAGTGGGAGGGAAACTTGTCCTCCTCGGCCGCGTGGGGCTTCCTCGCGGGCCTCCCGGGCCGTCTCGGAGCGGTCTTGGGGGACTCCTGGGCCTCGGAGGCCAGCATGAGGCCATCCTGGACGGTCCCGAGAACTGAGCTCTCGAGGGGTGGGGGGGCCAGGACGTGGTGTGGGCGTGGTGGGGGCGCGGTGGGGATTGTTGGTAGGTTTCGGGCCAGAACTTGTCGCGCGGGGGAGTCACAAGAACGGAGCTCTCGTGGGGTGGGGGTGCCAGGACGTGGTGGGGGCGCGGTGGTGGCGCGGGGGGGGGTGTTGGTAGGTTTCGGGCCAGAAATTGTCGGCTGGGGGGTGCGAAGAACTGAGCTCTCGTGGGGCGGGGGCGCCAGGACATGGTGGGTGCGTTCTGGGGGCGCGGTGGTGCGTGTAACTATGTGTGTAGTTTCTGTGGGGTGGGGGTGCCAGGACGTGGTGGGGGCGCGGTGGGGGGTGTTGGTAGGTTTCGTGCCAGAAATTGTCGCAAACGTGCCCAACTGAAAATTCCACTCTCCAACCTCGATCCCTCGATCCTCACGGGCGGCGAGCATTTCCGTATCCGCGCACTCACAGTTTGGCTTCGGGGGGCGGGACCCAGTGGATCACAAGAGAAGTGCCCCGCATCCATGGTGTCGCGGCCCAGGGGCCCAGCCCACGAGGCCGTGGATATGGATATGCTCCCCGCCCACGAGATCCCCTTTCCGCGAGGATTGCCCCTCGTTCCCCCGCGGCATGGCCATGACCCCGGACGGGAAGGCACGGGCGCGGCGCCACTCTCGGGGCCGGCGCCCCCTTCTGGGGCCCCCCGGCGCACCCGCATCGCGTCCTCATCCGCTCGACCCCCTCGTCCTCCCCTTCCTCTTCCCTCTCTCCTCTCTCGTCCTCCCCCTCCTCTCCCTTCTACCCTCTCTCCTCTCTCGTCCTCTCCTCTCCCCCTCCTCTTCCCTCTCCCCCTCCCCCTCCTCCCCCCTCTCACGTCCTCCCCGCAAAGCTAGGCGCTCAATTTGCTAAGCAATTTCCCCCCCTGTTCGACATAGCGTTCCATGCGGAGTGAGTGAGCATGGCCATCCTTAGAGGTACTCTGGTCGGTATCTGCGTGTTCTGGCCTGCTCTGGCTCGTTCCGTCGTGTCTGCCTTCATCTTGCAGCGCATGCAGGTCAGGTGAGGTGCGATTGTTTGTTTATCACTACGTGATGCAATAATCCATAGAATCCCCTGCTCTCGAAAAGCATGTATGGACAAGCACTGATTCGGGAAGGTCCGCGCGGAGTTCTTGGATCGGCGCTGTACCCTCCTGGCGGCGCCTCGGTCGCCGCCACCTGGCGCGCTCCACGCGCCAGGGAGGGGTCCCAGCGCGGATCCAAGAACTCCGCGCTGACCTGACACAGATCTGCTTATGTGGTGTTTCGTTCCTTCTACCTACGCCGCTTCATTCTCCGCCCCAGGCAGGCAGATTGGAGGCGACCCCTCAATGGTCCCCTCATGCGTCGATTATCGGCCAAGCGAGGCTGGAGCCGCGATGGACGTGTGGCGGCCGCCCTATGCCTAGCTTACCCGCCCACTAGGCACGTTCTTTGTGTAAGTTCGCCGTGCCTTAAGATTGAGCTCGGGTCGGTTCGCGTTCTTCGATTTTGGATATTGTGGATGATAATTCAACCATTCCTTTTTTCTGGCTCAGGGGACATCGGCCCGTCAGCTGGCAGTCCAGTCCAGCGTTGCTAAGGGAGTTGCCCCCATTGAAGGGCAAGCGCCGTCATGGGCCTGTCGTTCAGGCGGGAGCCCCGTGGTGAACAGGGGCAGCCATCCATCCTTCCAGCTCCAGGAATTCAAAAAGGCGCGGCCAGAAAGTTCAAGGGCCTAGAGCCTAGAGAGCACAAGTAAGAGTGAGAGCCGCAAACAAGCCGTCCCCTATGTGTGCACTTGCCGCGCAAATTGCAGCGGCTGGGCAGCCTCTCTGAGGTCAGCAAGCGTGGACCCCAGACAGAGATCTCTTGCGATCCCTCTGGGGAGACCTGGGTAATGCAGTCAACGCGGTGCAGTCTAGGCGGTGCAAACCATGTGGTGCAAGCTACGTGGCACAAAAGGAGTGCAAACTGTGCAGAGCTGCGCGGAGACGTGTGAAGCAAAGCCGCCAGACCGACGGGCAGGCCCAGACGACGGGCGGCGACGAGGCTCGGCGACGGGGCGCCGACGGTGACCACAGCCGCCAGACCGACGGGCAGGCCCAGCTCCCCAGAGGGGAAGGAGTGAGAGCCCCTAAGTGCAAGCATAGGAGGAGGAGGAGGAGGAGGAGGAGGAGGAGGAGGAGGAGGAGGAGGAGGAGGAGGAGGAGGAGGAGGAGGAGGAGGGGCGGAGCACTGCTTGGGGAAAAGGGCTTTCAGTGGGAGCCCGGTGCTGATCAGAAGCGGCCCTCCGCCCGTCGAGGTGATAGCTGGGAGTTCTTGGGGCGAGTGCGCGCGGCGCCAAGGCAAGAGCCAGTCTGTTAAACACCCGACATCCACCCGTGCAGTTGTTGGACGCTCGTGAGACGAGTGCGCGGCGCAAAGCGAGGGCAACGCGTTGACAACAACCCGCCCTGCATCCGTCTGACTGTTGGATGTCCTGTGGTTCGTGAGCACGAACTGTGAATCATGGTCGGGCAGCGTGCCCAGTTCACCTCACCGACACGTCCCGGTGGTGCGACGAGGAAGAACAACGAGAAGGAAGAGGGATGGAGGAGGAGGAGGAGGACAATATCGTCACTGCAGCAGCGTCGGATGTTTGATTTCGTGTCTATATTCTTCGAGTGTAGATGTGCGCAAAGCGGCTACGGTGAAGGTTCCTCACTTCATTAACGACCTATCCGAAGACGCCCGGTCTCGGGGGCAACCATGTCGTCTTTGTGCTTCCTTGTAGGCTCGGGGCGACTGTCATGCGTGTGGAGCTGAAGATGCTGTAGCGTTGTGGGGCACCGCGCGTTTCAATGCGAGGGTCTGTGACCCCTGCATCCTTCAGCCATTTGTCTTGCGAATCATGTCGCATTGAATGTTCCTCTCGTTTGAACCAAAGGTAAAAACTGTATTGACGCGATTGTCAACTCTGTGATATGAGGCTGAACGTGATTATCTACTCTCTGCACGCAGCTGACAGTGCCACTTGTTTGCGTGTGCGGTTCACCCACTGCCACATCGCTTGCGGCGGCAGTGGCGCGAGGCCGAGGAGGAGGGGAGGGGGATGAGTAGGAGCAGCAGCTGGGAAAATGGAGGTCGGATGAGGAGGAAGTGGAGGGAGGGGGGAGGATGAGTACGAAGAGGAGGACAGGGACACGGGGGCGATGGACCAAAGGACCGTGGCCACTGTGACGAGGAGGACGGCTCGAGTGACATCGGAGCCGGGTCCCCTCCGATCCGATCGATCCAGAATCGGCCTCAATTTTGGCGGCCCCGATCTGCTTCGATTCCGATGCCCCGACGATCTGGCGCGTCCCCGTTCTCGCATGCCGCTGCTGGGCATCCTGGCGCGGCCGGGCCGAGCCGACTGCGACCCTCTGGCTGGGCGAGAGCCCGGAGCACCCGGCCGGCACGCCGGCGGCGCCCGCGAGGCGCCCGATGCCACGCCCGTCTCGATCCGGCCCGATTTCGTCCCTCGATGCTGATCGTCCCCGCAGGTCGAGGCACTGCGTCTTCCCTCGATGCTGATCGTCCCCGCAGGTCGAAGCCCCCTGAAGAAAACAGCGCTCGGGAACTTTGGGGCACTATGTCGCCCTTTTCTTTTATGTTACCTCCTATGGCCGTCCTTCGATGATCCCAGGCGGAGAGCAACGCCAGCAAAAATTACGGGGCCGCACTGTCGCCGCCGCCGCCGCCGACACCGCCGCCGCCGCCGCCGACGACGCCGACGACGACGACGCCGTCCCTCGATGCTGATCGACCCCGTAGATCGAGGCCCCCCGAAGAAGACAGCGCTCGGGAACTTTGGCTTGGCGTGTCGCTCCGCCGATGCTGGTCCAGCACGCGTCTGCGCGACGCCCCAGCCACTGCCTGGCTCCCAGGCATCAGCGCTCTGAGCCCTTCCCGGCCTCCCGGCCCGCGGAGCGAAGCGACACGCTGTGATGTTGCAAGTGACGGCATGTCGCTGGGGCCCCCGACGCGACACGCTAAGCAAGAGTTCCTGACCAGACACCGCCCCCGCGGCCCCCGCCGCCCCCCGCTTCCCAGGCGGGGCCGCACTGGCCGTCGAGGGAGGGCGGATTGACGAAGGGAGGGGTGGAGGACGATGACATGATGACCGAATTGGTAGATGATCGGGTTCAGGCATAGATGCCTCATCTTTTGTTTCGGACGCGCGGCTGGTATAGACATGGGCCACATGTCGTTGGCGCATTATTATGGCGATCGTCAACAGATCAGTTGTGCCCTCGGCTGTTTCACAGTACGTCGCCCTTTTCTTTTTTGTTACGTCCTATGGCCGTCCTTCGATGATCCCAGGCGGAGTCCAACGCCAGCAAAAATAACGGGGCCGCACTGTCGCCGCCGCCGCCGCCGACACCGCCGCCGCCGCCGACGACTCCGACGACGACGACGACGACGACGACGCCGATGCCGATGCCGACGACGACGCCGCCGACGCCGCCGCCGACGACGACGACGACGACGATGATGACGACGACGCCGACGCCGAGGCCGACACCGACGACGAGGACGACGCCGCCGACAACGCCGCCGACGACGCCGCCGACGACGACGAACACGTAGTGCGAGGAGGCCCCCCTCGGCGGGGCGGGCCGGCGCCCCGGGCCGCTCCGCCCAGTCGACCTCCCGCCCCACCCCCCTGCGGCGGCAGGCGCTACTGGTCGCGAGCCAGACCGACGGCAGCGTGGTCTCCTATCAGGCGGCCGCCCGCACCCCGCCCTCGCCCGGCTGGCCGGCCAGGAGGCGCTCTCATCGGCACGAACGACATGGGTACGGAGTTACGGAAAGAATGGGTACAATGCCCAACAGCAGTTCCTGTTCATTTTGAACAGGACTCGCTGTCCGCGCCGCCGCGGCTGTGTCCGTTTGAGACAGGAGGTCGCCTGCCCAACAGCGGCCGCTGCTTGTTTGGGACAACATTTGCTGTTGGGCGTTGTGCCCATTCTTTCCGTACCCATTCCGGGCGTCGAAATCTCAGCGTCACTGTAACGGGTACTCGCTGTCGGGAACTTTGGAAAAATTGCCGACGTTTGCCAATTTATAGTTTTCTTGTTGGCATGGCAGCGTTACCCACATCGGCGAGGCTTGGGTTCGCGGGGCCACTGGCCAAAGTGCCCATCAGTGGAATCCCCGGGAGGCGCTTCCCGAGCCCGCCATCGCCAGCGCCCCGAGGCGGGGTTCAGCGAGCCGGCGCGCCCCAGCCTGCGCGCCCACGCGCGCGTGGAGCGCAGGGGCGCGCCGCCCGGGGCGTGCCCGTCGCCGGCGGGGCGGGCGGACCCCGGGTGGTCGCCGAGGAGCGGCAGGGCCCGGGGTTGCTCTCGACTGCGCGCAATGAGTGACCCTTCGCTGGAGTGACGTCTGATGCGGGCCTCCTCGGGGTCGCCCAATCGCTCAGCGCGATGCGGTAGCAGCGTCTTGCACGCTTGTGTTTGGCCCCCCCGTGGCCCATCAATAGTCGCGCACCACCGGTAGCTCTTGCCCAGAGTTTGGTCGGGCATGTCCCTCTACAGGAGGAACAGTCAAACATAGAACAAAAACAAACATAGAACAAACATAGTCTGGGGAGGACGACTTTCCGATTTGTTCTTGAACATGTTTGATGACTGTTTATTTCTCTTCCAAGACCCGCCTGTAGGAGGACATGCCCGACCTAAATTCAGGGTCACTCTTGCGTGTAGCCGACTCTTTTTCGGCCTCGGGCAAGGAGCGCGCCTCTGGCCCCAGCGGCGCCTGGCGCGGAGCAGTGGGGCAGAGGGGCGGCAGGCATGGGCGCGGAGGAGCTCGAGGCCTCCCCGAGCGGGGGGTCCAGGCAGCTGGGGATCGGAGGATGGCGCCGCATCGCTCGGGGTGGAAGTGAGGAGGAAAAGGCCTTCCCAGAAGGCGGCGGGACTTCTCGGAGGAACTCGCGCCTTCCGAGAGGTTTTCTGTGTCTTCGGGGAAGGCCTAGCACACTTTTCAGACGGCCTGGGGACTTCCGAGCCTTATGAGAAGGCCCGCCCGCTCTCACGTTCCCCCCCCCCCCCGGCTCGCCACCGAGAAAAAATCGGGATGCAGAACCGGCCCTGGGGAACGGGTCGGGACTTCGGGGAACGCGTACTGAGCAAATCAAGACATCGCATGTTTGGGCTTCGGTCCGATCGATCCGATCCGGCATCCGTTCTGGCCGCCCCTGTCGTCAGAGGAGGGACGGGTACCGACACCGCTGCTCGTCCTGGAGAGCCCTCCTTGTTGCGGCTGGAACATTCTTGACATTCCGATCATAATGCACCCTGGGAGAGGTCCGGAGAGCGGTATCGGTTTTTGTTTGCCTCCCCAGATCCGATTCGATTATGATAATGGTGACGATCCCATGCGGTCCGGATTCTACACGATAGTCTACGGCGACCTCGGCCAAGCCCATCCTGGGCCCTGGATCGATGTACGTGTCTTCCGGGCTAAGCCAAGAGGGCGCAAACGCCGATATATTGGACCCAGGATGGGCCTGGCCGGGAGCGGCGTGGTGCACAACTGGCGCTCACCCGTCAGAGGTTCAGCGTCGTTGCGCACCCTGTGAGTGACGCGTGCGCTTCCAGAGGCATGCTTGGCCCGCCCAAGAGAATATGCCGTCAGGCAGGCGCTGTCTCGTCTTCGGTTTTGACCACGACTTGTCCCTTACGCACCGGGGCGGCTGCTGAGCAAATTTGTTGTGGAAAGTCCGTTGTGCTGCAAAGAAGCATGACGAAGTCCAAAGTAACTTTCCAGCTTAGATACAACGCATGTGCATCGCTCCTCCAGAATAGATGTGGTGCCCTGTCGCGGGGCATGGGAAACACTGGCAGCTATTGTGAAGGCATTGGTGTCCAGTGTCCAGCGCAGTGTCTTCTTTACCCCATGTTGTCGCCACCGACTCATCGCATGTTGGGCGTTGTTTGAGCGACACTCCGACTGGAATGTGTAAACGTGGCAACGCTCCCAAACACATATATATATATATATATATATATATATATATATATATGTTGGCGTATGATTGTGTTCCTAAGCGTCCTCTGATCTGTCTTTCTGTCTCTCTACATCCTTCTGTTTCTCTCTCTCTGTTTTGCATCCGTGAAATGCAAGGTGAAGGAAGCAGGTGAGAAACAGAAGACGGATAATGTCGAATCTAGACGAGCAAGAAGTTGAGGATATGAGAGTCAGGAAAAGGCATGCGTCCCTCTGCTCACCCCCCCCCCTCCTGATCGCCCTCCTCTTCCTCCTCCAGATACTCCTCGACCTACTCTTCCTGCCTATTTCTCCCTCCATCCACCTTCACCTCCTCCTCCTCACCTCAGGATGCCCCTTCAGCCTCTTGCTTCCTCGGTCCCCGCAGTCTCCCCCCCACCCCTGCGAGGTGGACCCCGAGACCGGTCTCCTGGGCGAGGTCATCTCCACCCAGGAGAGGGGCGGACAGCGGGCGGGGTCCTCCCGTGTCGTGCCAGGCGTTCGGTGGGAGGTGCCGAGAAGCAGAGAGCAGGCTGAGGCCGCAGAGCGCGAGTGATCGGTCGGGGGAACGGGCGCGAGCGGGAGAGGGTGAGGGGCGATTGCGGGAGAAGGGGAGGGGCGAGGCGGAGGAGAGTTGAAAGAAGGGATATCAACGAGCTAGGTGGCCTCGCGTCGTATTTGGCGTCCTGCCCCTCCCACCCATCCCTTGCCCAGAGCCAGAACGATGCCAGCAAGCTTTGCGGATATTAGTACGTAGCGCAGTGGACGACGAGTTGAGCTCGATTCGTCGACGATTCGTACCCAGTTCGGTTGAGTTCACTCATCCCTCCTCGATGCACTGAATTCGTTTCTTTCCGCCGGCTGGGGTACCCTAGAGACTTTGATCTCCAACGTGACCCCACCATCGGATGCGCAATTCAGACAGGGGAGCTATATGTATATATGACAAGGAGAATTGCAAACAGGAGGAGTTGGTGGCTGATGGGCGGGAGGATCAGCAGGACGAAAAGCAGGATGAGGAGGAAGGATGGAAAGTAGCAGCAGCGGAATCAGGAGGAGTATTGAAGAGGAGCAGGAGGGCTGGGGCAAGGCGGCGAAGACATGGAACGGATTGGATCCTGAAATGAGGCCCTCGTTGGCGCGAGAGGCGAGAGTGCAAATCTGAACAACGCGGGCCACGCGCCGAGCTTGAAATACGGACAGCGCTGCAGCGGGAACACCATCTTGAAAGGACCGGAGACAGTCCGCTTGAGCCCATGGGTGCGAGAAGAGAGATCAGTACGCGGGAGGGGGGCGTCCCCGCTCAGCACAGTGTCAAGGGAGGGGAGAGCGGCACCCATGCCGCATGATTGGATGTGGAGCGAGCGGGGAGCGCATGGCAGGTATCTGCATCGATAGGGGTATGGGACGACCAGTTGCCGGTTGCAAGCCGAAACAACTGGACAAGGGTGATGGAATAGGGTTCACTGGGTCCCACTCCGTGGTGCGCCCTGTGTCGAACAGAGATTCTCGGGCGGCCACCCTCGTCCATTGAACGAGCAGCCGAGGAGAGAGCTGAGGTGCAGAGGGCAGGGGTCGGCGGCGAGCGAGGGGGGGAAGTGAGGAGGAGAAGGCCTTCCCAGAAGGCGGCGGGACTTCTCGGAAGTCCCCGCGTCTTCGGAGAAGTTTTCTGTCTTCGGGGAAGGCTTCAAGACCTCCTCAGAAGGCCCGGGGAAGGCTTCAAGAACTCCTCAGGAGGCCCGGGGACTTCCGAGCCTTCCGAGAAGGCCCGCCCTCTTCTCACTCCCCCGCCGTCGATCGCCGCCGAAGGGTGCCGGGAGCGAGTGACGTGCGGGCAGGGTGTGCGTCAGTGTCGACTACACGTAAGAGTGACCCTTCGCCAGAGTGACCTTTGGTGCGGGCCTTCTGGGGTCCCCCGATCGCCGAGCGCGATGCGACAGCAGCGGCCTGCGCGCCTGGGTTTGGTCCCCCCGCGGCCACCCAAAAGCCGCGCAACAAAGGCCACTCTGGCCCAGGGCCACTCCTTGCGTGTGCTCTCGACGTCGCCCAGGGTCCCTCCCTGCCCAAGGCCACTCCTTGCGTGTAGTCGAAACTGGGGCGCGGGCGGGCCTCTGGGCGAGCTGCGACCCGGGCAGGGCAGGGCACCGCTCGGCCAGGGGTGGCTGGGCCGTGCAGGGCTGCACGTGCATGCAGGCCGTTGGTTGAAAGCGGGTGTTCTTGGATCCCCGGATTCCGATCTGTGTTGAGCGTTTCAACGATCGAGTGGCTTCACCTGTTCCCTCCTTCTGAGGGGGCGAGCTGCTTCCAACGCCTTCCTACTTCATGGTTATGCCTACTTCTTCCGACCGCTTGGTACTTCATAGCGGCCTTTCGCCAGAGTGACTGTTGGCGCAGTTAGGGCGATACATCCAGCGGAGGGAAGAGGTGCCCATACTGCTATTCTTATCCCATTTTTGTTATTCTGTTTGAGGCTTCCTGGGGGCCCCCCGTCGCCGCCGCTGGATTCGCCTCGAGATTCTGGTCAGAACGCACCCCGGGAGAGGCCCAGGGAGTAGCGGTATCGGTGCTTTTGGGGGGGCCTATCAACAGGAAGGCTGCAGCTAGGGCTGCAGAAAAGGAGCCCTTTAGGGCCGCTGCAATAAAGGGGCCCTTTCTTTAGGGCCAAAAAGGACGCTTCCAGGGCTCAGCAAGGGTCTTCCGATCGCCGAGCGCGATGCGGTAGTAGCGTCTTGCGCGCTTGTGTTTGGTCCCCCCGCGGCTCCCAGAAAGGCGCGCACCAAAGGTCACTCTTACCCAGGGTCACTCTTGCGTGCAGTCGAATCTACACTCGGCGACAGGATAGGCCGGGATGTGACTGCATGGGTCGGCACGGAACGGGCGCGTGGCGCAGTGAGGGACGACATGAACATGGTAAGACGGGCCCCGACAGGATCCCAGACACCCAGCGCCGTGTTTTTTGTTTCACAGCGTGGAGGTCTAGACACATTCTGGTGGACCGGATATTCATCCCGAGTCGTGGTTTGACTGTCCAGTGGCCCAGAGAGGGCCTGCAGAGCCCGAAGATTGCAGAACACATCTTATCATGTTTTGTACGACGCGGGCAATGCTCCAAGGATCTCGGCCACTTCCCCGGGGCTGGAGCTTCAACCCTTGTCGTTTTCTGACGGTCCCAGGGCCAGGCAATGGCCTCCAGATGCGGAAAGTGGTGAACACATGGCCGTCGCGATTTTTTGTTGCAACGCTTGGATCGGGGGGGGTGTGGCACGAGCCAGGTGCAACGTAGGGGGGGATGTGCTCAAGGGGGGATGCATCGACCCCCAGTCACACATTGATCGCCGACGGAGACCCGATAGCCCACGCCGCCCAGGACCGTCCAGTTTCGCCATCGGGCGCCTGTCGCCGTTCCATTGGCGATGTATCCCCGATTCCAGCTTGATGCTTCCCCCGCCTGAGCTGGACCCCTAGTCCCCAAGTCGTGTTCGGGTCATAACTCGGGTCTCGGGCCGCCGTCCGGGACGATCTGGGAACCCCTAGGAACGCTTTCGGCGAGGCGCAGCCGCTGGAGACCATCCCGAGGCTGGAAAGCCACCGAGAACCAGCGAACGCGCCCGAGAACCTGGAGCCTCGAAACTTTAGTCCCCCCCCTAACTCTCCCTGAGCTGCCCCCCCTCGGTGGCGGGGCGTGCGAGGCGCCCGGGCGTTCTGGGGCATCTCGGGGCCTCTTTGGGCGCCCGCGATGAGTTGGGCATCGTCAGGCCTCTGTTGGGGTTCTCCTTGGGCATCTTGCCTGGGCACACCTGAGCCCCTTTGGGGCCTTGTTGGGCCCATTCGAGAGTCCCTTCCCTGGCACTGCGATGGTTGCATCGTTGATCTATCTGCGACGTGTCGCCGATTCCACCTCGATGTCTCCTTCCCCCCCGGAGCTGCCCCCCTAGCGTTCCCACCCTCTCGTTGACCCAAAAGGGGGTCCAAGGGGGTCCAGCGAAAGGGGGTTGGTGCAATAGATTTGGTGCAATAGATTTGTGGTGTTGCACTAGGCGTGGGATGGGCGTTGCAATTTCGCGTGCAATGCGTGAGATGCAATACAATGCAATACAATTCTTTGGCGCAGTACATCTGCAATACAATTGCCCCTAATGTATTGCACCTCCCCTTTCAGCTGGCTCCCCACTTGGGTCAACCTAACTCTCACCGAGAGGGGCTCCTCGGCTCGGCCGTCCAGCAAGGAGGGCCCCCTGGGCGCCGCGGCCTTCGCGGTCTTGCCGGAGCTCCCCGCGGCCCCGTCCGAGCTCTCCGTCTAGGCGCCAGCGCGCCGAAGAGCGCGCAAGCCGCAACTTGGATCCAGGCCGCCCCCGTCGGCCATGCGTACACGACGGTCGCTGGAAGTAGATGTTTTTGGAGGTCCAGACTCCAGCAATCCACGTCAAGCGCCTTCCTACTTCAAGAATCGAAATGTTGGTGGTGTGCTTGTTTTCTTAGGGCGGGCCCCGACCCAGTCCACTTTCTCCGCCTTTCTACTTCATGTTTCTACCTACTACCTCTTCCGACAGGCGGGTACGGTAGGGGCGGCCGTTAAGAAGTGTGCCAAGGAGGCTTCAGACCTTGGACGATGAGGGCGGCGGTGGACTCCATGGTTAAGCCTCGATCCGTGTTCAACCAGCTTTCGGACCCTTGGTTTATTATCCAAGGGTTCCGTATCCACCTCCCTCACCGTAGGAGAAGCCATTCGCCGGAGTGGCCCGTGGTGCGGGCCCACAGGGGTCCCCCCAGCAGTGGTTTGCACGCGTGGATCTGCCCCCCCCCGCGGTCCCCAAACGCCGCGCACAAAAGGTCACTCTTGCCTCTTGCCTAGGGTCATTCTTACGTGCAGGCGATGCCGCATGGGGTCGAAATAGGTGGTCGGAATACCATTGCCCAGTCATGCTCGCGTCGTGACACAAATCATGTCGGTCGGCAGGATCCAGTCTTCGGGCCCGGGGCCGGTCGACAAAACAACTCAGGATGAAAACTTGGTCCGGGGGAATGGGTCGAGTCCTTTGGGGGGTGATTTGGCGAACAAATCATGACGTCAGGGGTCTGGGAAGGAAGGTACCAATGCCACTGCACCCTTGCCTTGTTTTCTCCGGATTTTGACTCCTGGGAGACCCTCGTCGTCACGGCTGGATTCTCCTCGAGGAGGAGGGTCCCGGGGAGTGGCGGTATCAGCATCTGTTGGTTTTGCCAGGCGTGGCCCGTGGATCACGCCACACCGCCGATGCATCGGCGAAGCGGTTCGACGGGGAGTCCGATTGTGTCTACGCCCGCGTCGCCGATGCATCGGTGATGCGGCGCGACCCTCTGACCCCATCTTCTCGGAACCTATTTTGGCGGCCTCCATCTGAGGAGGTCGCGAACCGACCCCCAACGACATCCGGCGGCTCGAAGAGCTCCAAGCGGCCAGTGGGGGAAAAAGCTTCCTCGGAAAGCCTCCTCTCGCCGTGGCACAATATCACGACGGGTGGTTTGGGTCGATTCTGGCCTCCGGATAAGCCCCTGCCGAGTCCCAAGAACATCAAAAATTTGCCCAGGGTGAAAAGCTGGTTCCCGGGAAGATCGGGGGCGGCCAAGAGGGGGGTAATGCCTAAGGGGGTGGATGTCATGGCGGGGGCCATGAGATCTCCCCAAATTTCATGGCGCCTCTTCTCATTTCAATGCGTCCCCGCCCCCCCCCCCCTGGATCGCGCACATGTCGCCGGCCACGACTTGCGCACCCCCCTCTTGGACGCCCCCCTCTTGGACGCCCCCGAGAAGAGGTCCAGGCATCCGGAATCGCAACGTCGGATGTATGGGTTGGGCCCTTAGGGCCGTCACGGAGCGACTCGGGATGAAGAAGCGGGCCCCCGGGGAAGAGGTGTCACGCAGTGAGGAGGCGTCCTGGCATGCTTGCAGGCCCGCCATCTCATGATCGGAGCACCTTTTGAGGCTGGGACGTCTTGTTTTAATCGATCGGCCTCACGTTCTAGGAACATCGTGTTGGTTCCTGGAACGTCCTCGGGTTCTCAGAGCATGGCGTGGCAGGCCAACAGGAATGCCGGGAGGGCCGGTCCCCGCTCAAAGGTGGCAAGGCTTGGAGGCTCGCGTCTCGAGAAAAATCCGGCTGCCGGATGTCTTGTCTGGAGTCTAAATCTACGAGGTATAGACGTAAGCCAAAACAGCCGCGAGGTATCCTTGCGACCTGATTTCGTTTGCCGCGCCTGTGGAAAACTGTTACTCGGGTAAGCATTTCTTGGCTTTAGTATTAAGACTCGCGCGTGACATCTCGCAGAAAAGCATATACAAAATGAAACGACAGGCGGTTTTCATCCCCTCGGCGTGCGAGCAGGCTTGGAGTCGCGGGTTAGGAGGCTTCGGGGCGCCTGGGGCTTGGAGGAGGGGTGTTCGAGGACCCCAGGATCCTTGCGGGTCCTGTGGGAGCCTTCTTGGACTGTTTGGATGGCTTCGCGGTCCGTCCAGAAGCCATATTGGGCCGACTTCAAGGCCGCCCGGGGCCGTCATTGAGGCATTTTGGGCAATTTTGCGTTCGAAAGTGCGGGCCCATGGCATCTTGCGAGAGGTCGCGGCCGTTGTAGCGCGGCTCCACTGCTTTCTTAGAGGAAGAGGTCCGTCGCGGGGGGGCGCGCACGCGGCGGCACGCTGTTCGGGAGGGTGGGGCTGTTAGAATAGTGCAGAAGCCGTATCAAACGGCTGACTGGCATTCCGTTGCGCCGGTGCGGCACAGGCGCGGCGGCGGATGCGGAGTGGGGTAGCTCTGGAGATCGCTGTCCCATTGCTGGAGAGTGGTCGAAACGATTGGAAAGTTTTGGCCAATGCCTTCCCATAACTTTTCTCGACTAGCATGTACACCATAATTGTTTGGAAATCAGAACTGTTAGAGGTATGTGTCGGAGACTTGCTGTCCTTGTCTTGGCCCCCCGGTGGGGCCGTCTCGGCTGCCGCGGTGTGGAGGCCCCAGGCTTGCGTCGGCGATTCTGATGCCGTGGAGCTGCTCCCCCCGCAAGGCCTGCGGACGGGTTGCTGGCCGACCCCCCTTTCTCCTTTCCGCCTCCTCTCCCTCCCGGGAGGGCGGGCGCCGAGCGTCTCTTCACCCGTCCTTCTCTACACCGGGGGGGGGAGGGGCACGCTGTCGGGCAGTCTTTGGGTGGCCCGCGCCGAATGGCCATGTGCCAGATCACGCGCGGGGCCATCCGCCAGCCCAGGCCCCGCAAAGGGACGTCCCGAAGAAGCGCTTTGCGTTTTGGGGGTTCGAGATGTTGACTTCTCCTCTTCGGCGGGAAGCCCGCGAAGTCCAGCTGAAGCAAAGCGAAGGCGGCTCCGCCGGCGCAAGCCAGCGTAACCGCAATATGGTTCCCCGAGAGGTGTCAGCGTGCTTTGATTCAGGCAAGGAGTTGCGGGTGTCTTCGGTTATTATTCCGGATCTTGCCTCGGTTTGGTCCATCCGTGCTGCATTCGGTGCTTCCTCTGGCTCCGCGAAAGCCTTAGCCTAATCAGGCAGGTCAGGACATGCCCTAAGATCGTGATGAAGACGTGGCTTTCTTCAGGTCCCCGTCTTCGCATTAGGGACGATAGATCCGGGCGGTCTGGTCCGACAATGCAGAACCAGACCTCCCATTCCTAAGTTATTCGGCGCTCCTGACTTAGGTTCACTCCCAAAGGGTTGGGGGTACTTGTATTGCTTATCAGGGAAGGCTTCTTAGAATGAGGCCGCTTCTCAGAAGGCGTGGGCCTGACACCTGCATCTGCGGGCCTTCTGTAACTTCGGCGGAAGCAGCCGGGAGAGTAACATGGCGGCGGGTCCGCCCGCGGAAGGTCGACGGCAGATGCGGAAGTAACAGCGAGGCGTCAATGTGTGCAGGGTTTCAGGGCTCTGGAGTCGGCCATGCCTTCCCCCCGCGCATATCCATCACGCGCGGTTTCTTCCACCCCGTGCTTCTCCCCTTCCCAAGGCTGCCCGCCGCCGGCGCCTGGCGTCTGAAGAGCCGCGGGCGCGACAGCGTGCGAGACTGCACGGGCCAACAAGCGCGCGCGCATCGCCGGGAGTACCGCTCAGACCCTCTCTGCTGCTGCTGCTGCTGCTGCTGCTGCTGCTGCTGCTGCTGCTGCTGCTGCTGCTGCTGCTCCTGCTGCTGCTGCTGCTTCACTGCTCCTAGGTTCCTGGCGGATCGGTGGTTACCATCACGTTGTGATCGCCCTAATTAGCCACCGTTGCGGAAGCATGGTTAAGCTTGGTTGCAGCATCTCTCACGCGAAGACGGCAGAACCCGCACTCCTTATGGCAGGGCGGTTGTGTTTTGAGTTGTCCATGGAGTGCGGGGAAGCCGTCGTACAGGGCCCTGGCTGCCACTTGTAGTTGTTCCTCTCCTTGGATCATGGCCCGCACTCCAGGACTTTGGATACACATGACGCGGCTGGCCTGGGCGAGAGCCAGAGTTGGATGCACACGTCACCAGATGTTTCTCCAGCGCTTGGCCCTTCTACTGTCCTCTATGCTGGGTTTCCGTATGTGAATCAAACGTGTCATCGCCATTGCGAAGCAACGCCGAGGAGCGCGGAAGGAACGTCGAGGGAGAAGGACTCTGCACCCAACCGGGCTTCTTCCACAAACATGTAAGAACACCTCAGGCAAAGCCGAATTGGGAGAAGCATCGTTCAACAACGCTCCCCTGACCCATTGTAGCGTCCATCTTGGTCAGCGATTCGAGTCGCGCTTAGCTGCCTCCCACGACGGGCCCACATCGATCCAGACACATTTCCGCGATCCTCTCCGTTCTCCTCCCCCTCACCGGACCTCGGACGGCTCGACTCTTTCGAGACCCAGGGCCCTGGACCTCTCGGCCTCTTCCCATTAGGACTGGCTTGTCGTCTTGAGCTCTTTTCCAACTGTCCCAGGGCCCGCAAAGAGCCCCCAGAGGCCGAAGAATTGCCAACGACGTATCGGCTTCGATTCTCTACGAAGAGACGGGGCCTGGGCTCTGCCGATGCCCCCTCAGAAGTCGGCCCCTGGACCTCTCCAGAGGGCCGCATTCGGACCAGAATTTTTAGGCGGATCCGGCCATGGCGTCGAGAACGCCCCCGGAGGCCCGAAACGCGTGGCAGACGCCCATGACCCTCGATTCCTTGCGATCCCCACTGGGAGGAGGACCCCATCCCCCCCTCCCCCACTGAGAGGAGGACCCCCTCCCCCCTCCCTCCCTCCTGAGAGGCTAACTTATCTTGCGCAGGGTGTCTAGAGTTCCGACCACTTTTTTTCCGCGTCGCCCCCCCCCCCCCCCCCCGCGTTCCCAGAGCCAGAGTGGGACCCCCGCGCCGTGGCTCTCTGCCCCGAGCCTCCCCGCGTCCCCAGCGCCCCAGCGGGAACCCCGCCCACTGCCCCCTCCGCCACGGACGTTCTATTCCGCGCCGCACACTCCCCTTCTCCCCCCACCCCCGCGTCCCCAGCGCCAGAATGGGACCCTCTCGCCGTGGGTCTCTGCCCCGAGCCCCTCCGCGTCCCCAGCGCGAGCCCCGCCCACTCACGAACGCTTTATTCTGCGTCGCGACGCACACCACCTCCCCCCCAGCGCCCAAGTGGGGGCTCCGCCCCGTGCCCCCTCCGCCCCGACAATTTTATCCCGCGTCGCGACGCACACCAACTCCCCCCCTCCCCCCCCCCGTCCCCAGCGCCCCAGTTGCACCCCTGCCCCGTGGCCCTCTGCCCAAAGCCCCGCCCAGTGCCCCCTCCGCCCCGACCATTTTATTCCGCGTCGCCGCGACGCACACCACCCTCCACCCCCCTCCTCTCCGCGCCCCCAGCGCCCCAGTGGGACCTCTGCCCCGTGCCCCCTCCGCTCCGAGCACTTTATTCCCCGTCGCGGCGCGCATCACCTCCCCCCCCTCCCCACCTGGGATTTGGGCATCGTTGCTGGGCCCCGAGTGGCGATGGCGATGTCTTGCTCGCTCTTCCCCCTCCTCCACCTCCTCCTCCTCCCCATTCCTTTTTGTGCAAGAGCTATGGCACACGTGCCACTTGTTCAGCATCGGCACTGGTAGATCCACGCTCGAAAATCATCCCACTCTAGCCTGATCCCGCTTAATCCAGCTTGCTCCCGCTCTTAGTTACTCGTGCTAGGCTTAATGCAGCCTGCATCGACTGAGCAACCCCTCGATCGGGCCCAATAGCCTTCATTCGCTCACATGAGCAGCTGCCCCTGTTGAAATCACAATCACCGCTGGGAGTAGGACCCCCTCCTCCCCTCCCCCCCTTCTGAGGTATGGATTTATCCATAATCGCCGCATGCGGGATCGGTCTTCGGGTACCTCGGCAGGCTGAGGATATGGACCTGTTCGGTCCCTGGGGGGACTAATATGTCCCCCCCCCCCCCCCCATCCCCGCCTCCACCCCTGCAACCATGGCAAGATGAGGGACGGCGAGCCCATTCTTCCCCCCTCCTCGCCCTCCCCCTTCCCATCCCTTTCCGTCTCCTCGCCCTCCGCCTTCAGCTCTCCGCCCTCCCCCCGTCTCCCTCCGCCCTCCGCCCCCCCCCCCCCCCTTCGGCCCCCCGGCCTCGCACCTCCCCCCACCACGACTCCACACCCCCCTCCCCTTTCCGGCGCCCAGGCACGCGCGCCTCGCCCACCCCCTGGGCCTCCCCCTCCCCCCATCTCGCCCGCGCGCGCGCGGCCGCCCATGATGGGGGAGCCTCCGCCCTCCGACAACGTCTGGATCGGCGACCTTCCGCCCGACCTGGACAAAGAGCGTGGGGAGGGGGGGCGGTGCCCATCTTCTCCTCGTCGCCCTCCTCCTGTCTCCTCTCCTCTCCTTTCTCCTCTCTTCCCCTCTCCTCTCCACTGCACGTAGATAGTAGGCCAGACTGCATCTGAGTTTCAGCATGCCTTGGTCCGCTCACATGTGTGGTCCACATACTTAGCGCAAAGCCGCTCATCTGAAGCTCGTCTGGCCACGAAGCTCACTCATTCATTCATTTCCCTCTCCTCCCTTCCTCCTCGCCGCAGGGGGGCGACGGCGGACGACGGCGTCGACGGCGACGGCAACGACGTTGGCGACGACGACGTTGTCGCAAAGGACGACGTTGACGACATCGACGACGGCGACGACGGCGACGACGACGACGATGACGACGATGACGACGACAACGAGGTCGACGGCGGCGGCCGCGGCGGCGACGACCAACACGTCGTCGGTTTTCCAACGCTTCTGCTGACGTCTCTGGACGTCTTTCGTCCTTTCTTGGCCTCGCGGCGCGCCCCCCGTCGCTGTGGCGGTATCCGCTCGGAAGTTCTGGCCAGAGCCCATGGCCGGGACAGGCCCGGGCGTGGATGTTGGACTCCAGCACCTCGACAGTCGGGAGCGGCTCAGAAGTGGGTGATGACTTGGGGGGGCGGGGGTATCATTGCGGGGACCATGATATCTCCCCAGATTTCATGGCGCCTCTTCTTATTTCACTACGACCCCGCCCCCCCCCCCTGGGCCGCGCACGTGCCGCCGGCCAAGATTTGCACCCCCCAAAAAGGACGCCCCCCTCTTCCCTCTTGGACGCCCCCCTCTTGGACACCTGGCGGCTCGACACGAGCCCAAGGCGGCGTGCGGTTGCTTGATTGGGGCCTCGCAAGGCCAGCTTCTGGCCGCGGGACCCTCCACAGCAGCTCAGACTCCTGAGTGCGGAGCGGCACGGGGCGCCGGCTGGGTCCCTTCGGCGGTGGCGGCGGCCTGGGTCGAGCGGCTCCCAGGCCGCAGCCCAAGGCTTGGAGTCGGCGGGCCCACCTTGTTGGCGGCGATGGGCGGAGATTTTGTCGACACTCAAGGGGGTCCAGCTGAAAGGCGGTGATGCAATAGATTTGGGGCATTTGTCTTGCCAATGTACTGCGCCGGAGAATTGTACTAGATTGCAGTGCAACACATGCCGTGCACGCGAAAACCCAGCAATATCTTTGCGCACCAGAATTTGTTGCACACCCCAAATTTATTGCAACCCCACAAATCTATTGCACGAGGTCTATTGCACCAGCCTCTTTTCGCTGGACCCCCTTTTGGGTCAACCGAAGGAGAGGCACCGGGCCGGGGCCTTGGCCGGCGGCGGCGGGTTCGGTGGAGCGGCTCCCAGGCAGTGGGAGAGGAGAGAACGCTGTGAGCACAAGCGTTCAGAGGTCCAGAGGCCCGTGCCTTGAAGAGGGTGGAGCTGCGCGGCGCCCACCGTGGGCACAAAGCATGTCCGTATCCGCGGCCTTGCGGGCCGGGCCCCTGGGCCGGGACCCTGCTGATACGGAGCGTTTTGTTCGCGGATGCCCCGCGCGGAACGTAAGGGACACAGCAGAGGGTTAGTAATTGGCCCCGTCCCCCACAAACTATCGGCTGGAAGTAAAACTCGTCCTGCCCCTCCTGGTCCTTCTCCTCCTCGACCTCTCACTCGTCCTCCCACGCAATGGGCGTCTCCGTCTCGGCCTGTGCGCACAAGGAGGAAAGTGGGATGATGATGTGATGATGATGCTGCTGCTGCTGCTGCTGATGATGATGATGATGATGATGATGATGAGGATGATGAGGATGATGAGGATGATGAGGATGATGAGGATGGCGATGACGATGACGATGGCGATGACGATTATGATGACGATGGTGATGATGGTGATGAGGAGAAGGATGAGGAGGAGGAGGAGGAGGAGGAGGAGGAGGGCGATAGGGAGGGGGAGGAGCTGCGCGCATAAAGATTATTGTAGTGGCCTCCGGCCAGTGCCGCCGATCCGGGGCGCTTTTGATGCTACTGTTGGGATGGACGACGACAACGGACGACCAACGGTCGACGAGTGGGATCATTACGACGACGACGACCGACGAACGGGTTAACGACGACGGTTGACGACGACGATGATGAGGAGGAGGAGGAAGACGAGGCTGAACATGATGATGACGATGACGGTGACTTTTACGATTATGTAGTGGCCTTCGGCCAATGCCGCCACCGTGCCTGGTTGGTGTCGGAGGGCTCATCAGTGTTCGTTGGGATCTCGTGGTAGGTCTCTCGGGGGCCTCATGGGTTCACTTTTGAGGCATCCTG